TCGCAAGGGCTGAGGTGTCGGACATTGAAAAGTGGGAGGAAGGTGATACAGCCTTTGTCTTGGCTCTGAGCACGGAAGACAATATGCTCACCCAGTGCCCAAAGGAGTACGAGGCGTATATTAACATCTTTTCCGAAGAGAAGGCAGAGGACCTCCCAGAGCTAGGAAGGAAAACCCACGCCATTGATATAGGAACCCAGGAACCACTGTATGGGCCAGTATACAATCTATCGGAAACTGAGCTGGCCACGCTTCGCGAGTACCTTGACGCGAGCGAGAAGAAAGGATGGATCTGAAGGAGCGTGAGCCCTGCAGGCGCTCCTATCCTATTCGTCCAGAAGAAGGATGGAAGCCTACATCTTTGTGTGGACTATAGGGGCCTAAATAAGATCACTGTGAAGAATAGGCACCCCTTGCCACTCATCACTGAGACCTTGGATTGACTCCAAGGGGCAAGGTGCTTCACAAAGCTAGATATCCGGAACGCCTATCACCGAATCTGAATTCGCCCAGGCGACGAGTGGAAGACAGCCTTCCGCACCTGTTATGGGAACTTCGAATATCGAGTGATGCCTTTCGGGTTGGCAAACGCACCAGCAACGTTCCAGGCATACATGAACGAGACCTTAAAAGGGCTCATGGACACCACCTGTGTGGTGTACCTTGACGATATCCTCATTTACTCCCAGGATGAGGAGGGACATGCCAACCATGTACGAGAGGTCCTAGGATGCCTACGCGAGGCGAACCTATATGTGAAGCTCTCAAAGTGCGAGTTCAATGCCAAGAAGGTAAGTTTCCTTGGGTACATTGTCACTACGGAGGGAGTAGCCATGGAAAGCGACCATGTAGCTGCAATCGCTGAATGGCCAGTACCAAGGACCCATCAAGAAGTCCAGGTATTCCTTGGCTTTGCGAATTTCTACCGGCGCTTCATGAAGAAATACTCCTCCGTGGTGGCCCCAATGACAGGCCTTATGAAAGGGGCAAAGGCCGGCAAGCAGACCGGGCCATTTGTATGGGGTGTAGAACAGCAAGGAGCCTTCGACCAGCTTAATGAGCCCCCACGCTGGTCCATTTCGATCCAAGCCGTAGAATCAGGCTGGAGACAGACTCGTCAGGGTTCGCCCTTGCTGGAAACCTGTCCCAATTGGTGGAAGGGACTGGGCCAGAGCAGAAGGACGAATGGCACCCAGTTGCCTTCTTCAGCAAGAAGCTGGATCCAGCTGAGGTGAACTATGAGACCCACGGCCAGGAACTCCTGGCAATAGTGAAGTCCTTCGAACAATGGAGGCACTACTTTGAGGGAAGTCAGTACCCAATCGAGGTCCTTACAGACCACAATAATCTGAAGTATTTCATGGAAACCACTGCCCTTACAAGAAGGCAAGCACGGTGGGTGCAGGCATTGTCTGCGTATGATTTCCATATTGTGTACCGGGCTGGAAAGATGAACCCAGCTGATGGCCCTTCAAGGAGACCAGACTATGAGGTCAAGAAGGACAGCCAGAACGTCATGTTACCAACCCTTAAAGATAAGCTCCGAAGAGCCATGCAGGCAGAAGGTGTCCTACCAATGGACATGGCAATGGTAAGCGCAGAAGGCGCTAGACCGGACAAGAATTAGAACTAACAAACTACAACTACACAATCACTACAACACAATACTGTAAGGGCACAGGGCACCCAGCTCACAGTAATAGCATATGAGAGTGCGAGTCGGAGGCTAAACGGATGCTATCCTATAGGTCTACTACGAAGGATACAAAAAAGATGAGGAGAGGAACCCCGTTGGGTCAATCCCCTTAAATACCCGAAACGGGTGTCATACTGACATTCGTTGGACTCAGTTTGCTATCAAACTCAAGAGCAAACTTAGAAATCTCCTCCTCAAACCTACAAGTCACTATACATATTTTGGCTTGTCACACCAACAACAAGAGCAATACTACTCAACGATTGCTACAACCCTCTATGATTCATTACACGTCATCGCTCCTTAGCTACTTGTAATGGTGGGTGCACCAGATGTGAGAATCTAGCCACCCAAGGAAGGGATGAATTTACTAAGACAACACACTGTCTTAGGAAACAGAGCCAAAGGGTTGTAGCTTAGACTATTCCACAACGCAGCAATCAGGTGTGTGATGTAGTGAAGTGGTTCAGACAAGTTGCAACAAATGTTGAGTCTGGGAACTCAGGGGTAAGTCAGAGGTTAACACCTCACTGACTTTTCAGAAACAAGGAGTAACAAGATGAATGCTTGGTAGCATGGAAAAGACGTGGAAGTATGTAATAGTCGATTTACTGTATTGTCTGCTTGCCCTTTCTTAAGGAAAGGGCAATCCTATTTATGCTAAAGGAGTGTAGTTCTCTCATTTTCCAAGACTTTCCATGATTACCAGGCTTGGTAACTGTAGTCGACGTAAGAGAATCCCATAGAACCATCTCCTAGGTTCCTAGCCTATAGGAAGTAAAAGGAAGTCCAAGGTCAGAGTACCCCTATAGACAAATTATGTCATAGACAAATTATGTCATAGACAAATTATGTCATAGACAAATTATGTCATAACTTAACCAATCTTGTGGGTAACTAAAGAGTGATGACATGTAATGAATCATAGAGGTTCGTAGGAGCTTTTAGAGCTATCGTTCATGCTCCTAGGCCTCTAGTTGGTAGAGATATGTCATGTGGTAGTATGAGTGATGTCATGTAATGAATCATAGTGTAACGCTGACTTCTAAACGATAGAAGACACAGAGGTTCTCTTGCGTAAAGGTTTACTTATCAGAGGAGGCAGGGGATCAGACACAAAGGCTTCAAGTAACACGTTACTAGTATATAACAAATACTGTATTGAGTTGAGCACGAAGCTCCTATCTAAGGAAATACTATCTACTTATATAGTGGCGTCGTGCCTAGTGGACTCTTGGGAACTCACTCGAGTCCTCGGAGTCCTGGACTCTTAGGACTCTTCTCATCATCCTGCGAGTCCATCACGTGCCTAGTGGACTCCTGGGAACTCACTCGAGTCCTCGGAGTCCTGGACTCTTAGGACTCTTCTCATCATCCTGCGAGTCCATCACGTGCCTAGTGGACTCCTGGGAACTCACTCGAGTCCTCGGAGTCCTGGACTCTTAGGACTCTTCTCATCATCCTGCGAGTCCGTCACGTGATACTTTCGGAACTACTATTCCCCGCTGCCCCTCCAGGTACCAGGGCCGGTCTCATGCGACCTCCCTCCTTCCTGTCCTGTAGTTGGCCAGCCTTCTTGTTCCGTCGTAACACATAGAGGGTTGTATATGCTATGTGGTAATATCGGCCCAGTAACTAAGGAGCGATGACGTGTAATGAATCATAGATGGTTGTAGCAATCGTTGAGTAGTATTGCTCTTGTTGTTGGTGTGATAAGCCAAAATATGTATAGTGACTTGTAGGTTTGAGGAGGAGATTTCCAAGTTTGCTCTTGAGTTTGATAGCAAACTGAGTGCAACGAATGTCAGTATGACACTACTGGGCCGATATTACCACATAGCATATCTCTACAACCCTCTATGATTCATTACATGACATCACTCCTTAGTTACTGGGCTAATACTACACATGACATATCTCTATCAACTAGAGGCCTAGGAACATGAACGATAGCTCCAAAAGCTTCTACAACCCTCTATGATTCATTACACGTCATCGCTCCTTAGTTACCCACAAGATTGGTTAAGTTATGACATAATTTGTCTATAGGTACTCTGACCTTGGACCTCCTTTTCACTTCCTATAGGCTAGGAACCCAAGAGATGGTTCTATGGGATTCTCTTACGTTCACTACATGATTAGCAAGCTAGTTGTGGGTCGCACTTGATTTCTAATACATTTACCAAGCCTGGTTAGTCATGGAAAGTCATGGAAAATGAGAGAACTACACTCCTTTGGCATAAATAGGATTGCCCTTTCCTTAAGAAAGGGCAAGCAGGCAATACAGTAAATCGACTAGCACATACTTCTACGTCTTTTCCAAGCTTCCAAGCATTGATCTTGTTATTCTCTGTTTTTTGAAAAGTCAGTGAGGTGCTAACCTCTGACTTACCCCTGAGTTCTCAGACTCAACATTTGTTGCAACTTGTCTAAACCACTTCACCACATCATACACCTGATTGCTGCGTTGTGGAATAGTCTAAGCTACAACCCTTTGGCTCTGTTTCCTAAGACAGTGTGTTGTCTTAGTAAATTCATCCCTTCCTTGGGTGGCTAGATTCTCATATCTGGTGCACCCACCATTACACATTACACCTATCGCTTTACTCTCCTACATCTCTAAAGGCCTTGAGAGAATCATCACCTGTAGGATAGCATAGACAGCACTAGCACTAGATACCTCAACTCTAGCCTTACAACCCACAGTTAGTAGAATCCGCTTAGTCTTTAGGGAACTCTACAGAGAAGTACAGCAGTCCTAGTAGATCTAGCATAGTACTAAGCTCTCTATAAGAAATGGAACCTTAGCTACTAGGTGAAATCACCACTAGAGCTCGACCTCCCTAGGGCACACTCTATAGGCTCCTCGTAATACGCTCCGCCTATAGCGACTTCTCTTAGTACTACTACATAAAATTCACTTATAGGGACGCCTAACTACTCTGCTCCTATGGCTGCTACAAGACCCTAGACCACATCGTGCACTATAGGAAGACCACTACTACATCTACATTTCGCTACTAGCCCTAGCGACTAGCAGCACCACTAGACAACAATGCTATAGGCCTTAAATACCTTTCATGCCTAATGGCTAAACTAGCAGACTTCGCAGCACTCCTCTAGGTCACAGAGTTCTACACAAAAATCTACACCTACTAGGCTAGCCTAGCACAACTTACCCCTATATAGCCTAAGAAAGCCACAGCTTCCGCTAGCCCTATAGGGGCTCTAGGTTAATGCGACATAGTCATAGAGGATATCTACTCTATATTTTCGCAAACTAGCAGTCGGGGTCTAGGTCAAACACCCCTACACTCCCTTTAACGACACTATACTTTGTTTAAAGACACCTATTCCTACTTTTCCTACTATGTTACCACCTGCTACTAAGTTATAGAGCTGCAACTCCGTAGCAAGGCCGTAGGGCACACTACACACTACACTCGTAGTGGCTTATAACATCAGACCAACTAGTCCCGCATACACCCCCTTTCGGGAGAACCTCTTAAGGCACTGCCCTCTCCTAGCAAACCTAAGACCATCCCAACTAGCAGGGAAGGCGCTTAGTCAACGGGCCTTACAGCTACGCAAACACGCAAGAACTGCTCTCTAAGGTCATACTCTGTACATAAACCCATAGCTTAGCACGTCCCCATACGCTTAGGGAGGTCTTAGGGACGCGGGTTACACCCGCGTCCGGCTAGACGTAAATAAATATCATCATCATCACTGGCTGCCCTGGGCAGGCGTCCCCTCGACATCATCTTCCCCCTCCACCAACACCCTCTTCCCCTCTACATTCTTCTCCACCTCGTCCACCAGGCTCTCCAGAAACGCCTTATCCCTAGAACAGCACCATTAGCCATTTGCATCACCCCCACTCTGCACTGCGAACACTTACCTCCCCACCAGCGTCACTGTATTCGACCCCTTCCCGAACCGCGGGTAGCTCCCAACCTTCACTCCCTTCTCCTCCACCCTCGCCTGTAGCTTCTCCAAGTATGGCGCCACAGAACTCTCGCTCATCGGCGTACTAATCATGACTCTGCTTATCTCCTCTCCCAACCTCTCCCCATACAACTCCCCCAGACCCAACAGCAACTTCTCAAACAAACTCGGCACCCCAGGAAGAACATGCACATTCCCCCCCACACACACGACCGGCACCCACAGCTCCTCAACCGGGAACAGCACCTGGTCCTTCCACTCCTTGCCCTCCCCCCCATCCCCAGACAGCGGCAACAGCACCATCCGCTCCTTGGCCCGGCGCGCCTCGCTGTCTACGGTCCAATCGAAGTTCGGCTGCGACTTGTGCGGTTTCGCCAGCCGGCGCATGCGCGCATACGCGCCCTCGTGCAGCACGAGCGGGACACCGAATGCCGTTGCCAGCGCGGAGTACGTGATATCATCGTGGGTAGGTCCGATGCCGCCGCTCGTGATGACGAAGTCGTATGCGGCGCTCAGGCGGCGCGCGGACTCGGCGATGGTGTCGGCGTCGTCGGGGATGGTCTCGATGCGCTGGAGGGCCTGGATGGGGGGTTAGCTTATGCATAGATGCGGGAGGGGCGTAGGGTAGGGAACGCACGACGCCGTGGGAGAAACACCATTTGGCCATGAATGCCGAGTTTGTCTGTGTGTGCGTGTCAGCACGCAGGTTCCCTCTAGCCGTCGATCGCCCAATTAGACTGTGCGTGGCGGGCCGAGAGTTCTCACATCTACTGTCTGAGCATCATTAGCTTGTTACTCATCCCAGCTGCCTGTTCTGGGGCCACATACCTTCCCCCCCAGCACCTCGTCTCCGATAATCAGGCACGCAGCCGTGCGGATCATTCTGGTCTCCGACATGCCGCCCGCAGCTGCAGACGTATGTGCGTAGTTCGGTAGTGGGCGCGAGAAGTGGCGCGCGATGTGTGAGACGCGGGATAACATGCGGATATATGTATGTAACGTAGGGATTCGGTGAGGTTGGTGGAGGCGCGCGGATATATATTTTTTGGTCTGCAGGTAGGGGACCTGTTGGTGCGGGTCGGCGAGTGCGGCTACGCTGTTGGCGAGCGGGAAACCCCACATGACGCTGGAGGGGCTGAGGGGCACTTTAACTTCCACGGATTCTGTGGTCTTACGTAGCCGCGACAGACATCGAGAATCCCTCCAGCCTCATCGATTCCTATATCGGAAATATCTCTTATTATTCTTCTACCTCCCTCTCCCACACATATAAAATGGTGCGAAAATGCTTCCTCCCCCCCCCACAAGGCTTGGAGCTAACCACGCCCACAGGCTTCCGAGTCCCGCCTCTACACGGTATCGACACCGACGAAAGAGCATCTCCGCAAGTTCAGGCTCTCAACAAGCCGCTCCGATAAACCACAAGCTGTGATATGTATGTCGCTTGCCGCCTTCCGTCGCACACTTCCCAGTCCTCTCCCATTCTTCCTTTTCTCAGCCATTCCTGAATCCTCTTCCCCCCACACTCCACGATTCAGCTGGAAGCTAAGCTAACACCACAAAAGATCTAATCGACAAGATCACCCTCGAAATCCGCCTCGACGACGAGGGAATCATATACCATGACCTCGAAGAGCTAGGCGAAGAGCTCCCCGACCACGCCCCTCGTTTCATACTGCTGAGTTATCCACTGACACTGGTTGAGTCCCTCGTCCCCCTCCTCCCCGCCCCCATTTCCCCAATCAAATCCCACCTCCCCACACATCCACGCTAACACCCCCCCAGTCCTCAGGTCGCCTCTCAGTCCCCTACGTCCTTCTCTACTACCTCCCCGCCACCTGCAACGCCGAGGCGCGCATGTTATACGCTGGCGCAAAGGAGCTACTCCGCGGCGAGGCGGGTGTGGGGCATGTGATTGAGATTGAGAGCGCGGAGGATCTAGTTGAGATCAAGGAGAAGCTGGGTGGAGAGTAATGTATATATTGCAGTCAGAGGGGGGTAGAGCGGTGTTGGGGGGTGGAGGGGGGGGGTAGTATCCCATGAGTATAAATACGATTTTCACGTTCGTTCTGGAGTTCTCTTGTGTGTGGGCTCGGCTAAGCAAAGATAGAAGCTGTCAGGAAGTCAATGTGAGAAACCACGGGGGAAAAGGCCGTTTCAGAAGCTCGAAGGTTTATTTTAAACTAGCATTAACTAACTATCTCGCCTACCTATGATCTAACTGCCTCTATTCTAACTACTCTAATTCTATCTGCCCCGATTCCAACTACCTCTTCTAATATTCTTTTCTATGTTTGTCGTGAGCTCGACTTAGCTTCACCCTAAAGGGCTACTAGTCACCAGCACTGCGTAGAAGTGCGAGCTCGTTGCTGGCGGCCCCTCTAAAACCTCTTGAGAACCTTCTCTCGAGATCTCAGGAGACCCCGGGGCGTCTAACGCCTTGCCCCAGGAAGGCGGTCCTCAATTCTGTCGGTCCACCGGACCATCCTGCATCGCCATCGAAAATTGCTGATTACCTTGCCGTTGTATCTCTTGGGCAGTTTCTTGCGTCGCTTCGTTGTTAGCTTCGAGGTCGCGGCTCTCCCTGATGCCTGGGGAAAACGGAGCTCTTGTCTTTTTTCCCAGCCAAGGATTGGGAAAACATACCCCCGCAACAGCGAGTGTGGCCAGTATGGCCCCGGGGACGATGCCGACTGCGGTCAGGCCTAGCATCGCCAGGTCATACGCCATCGTTTCGTCGTCGACGGGGAGGAGGCGGGAGGAAAAAAGAAAGGGCCCTGGGAATCGAAGGAGGGGGGGAAGTAAGAAAAGGGCCCGGGAATCGATGTGAGAAACGAAATAAAAAGAAGAGTCGTTTCAGTAGTCAAGAAGTGCGATCGCCAGAATGAAAATCGCTGTGTGATGGAGAAAGAGAGAAGACGGGGAGCGTGGGACAATACAAGTAAGATGTAATATCAAGTCCAACGAATCGATGGCGTACATACATCCACCCACGCTTCAGCTACGTGATTTTTCAAATGGTGATGAAGCGCCACCGTCAAGGCCTCGACTATTCCTCCCTCATAAAGCCCCTCTCATACAACGTGTGGAGCTGGGTTGGACCCGACGAGATCAAGGCCTCGGCCCGCATCGTCGACGGCTCCCTCCTCCTGCGCCAACAGCACGTCCTCCTCGTCCACCCCAACAGCGACTTTTTCGTTCACCCACGACACCATCATGATTTGCCCGCACGTCGAGCAGCCCCGTTGCAAGATCGACGACAACTCTAGAGGCACGGAAAGGTACAGCATAAGCTACACCCCCGGCAGAGTCGACGTTGACCGCACGCCCACCGCGGTCGAGTGTGAGTGCTGCGCCCACCAGGGGGAGATGGACGAGGGGAACTGGTCCGGGATGATAATATGCTGCGACTGCGCGACCGAATTTGGGATTGGGCAGGAGGGGAAGGTGTTCGTGGTGACAAGGTGGAAGGATCTGGGAGAGGGGAGGGATGGGAATGATCCGGTGTGGCGCGCGCATCTGATGGAGCCGTGGTTGGGTGGAGGGTCGGGGAGGAGGGCGGGGGGGAGGACGATTTGTTCGAGGTTTGAGGGGGAGGGGTGGCGGGGTGGGCTGGAGTCGTTGACGCCTAGGGAGATTAAGAGGTTGGTGAAGTATAGGTACTGTTTTTGTGAAGTATAAGAGGCTCATATATAGGAACGGTTGCTATGAACTGTTAGTTCTCATGGGATGATTAGGGAATAGTTGCTATAATCACCTACAAATTCTATAGTAATTAAGATGTTGTATTATAGGAATAGTCACTGTTGATAGTTAGCACCTGTATAGATTAGTAACTAAGCAGCCTCCTTATAGGCACGGTCGCTATAGACACTTACTACTTTCATAGTAACTAAGAAGTTTCCCTAGAGACATGGTCACTCTCCTCCCCCTCCCCCTCCCCCATAAACGCTCAAAGTCGGCATCACACTCACAGCTACCCCACACAAGACAACAGCACATAGACGGTGGAATCATTCATATTTAGGGCTAGGCACCCTCCCCCCCTCCCCTCCTATCTAACCCCCCATCACCGCCCCCATCTATACCACCCACCCCATCATTTTTATCCCCTCCTCCCCTCACGCCAAAGTAGGACTCTACAGCCCCGAAAGTATAGACAAGAAACCCCCTTTCCTCGTCCACTGCCCGCCCCTTCCTTCTTGGGCTCTCTCCCTCCTTAACTCTGCGCAAGGGAACTCAAATCGCTTAAAAGGAGACCGGAACCGCATGCATGTGTAAAGCGATTAATAAATGAAAACAAGAATGACAAGATTGCCGTCCGCCCGCACAAGATTTTTCGGCTCTCGGTACGGGTGCGCGAGATCTCGATGTCTCTCGTCGATGGGTCGTTGGTAGAGCTAGAGTAGCTATAGTGCAGAGAGCTAGAGACGATTGGGTGGGGATGCTGGCAAGATGACGGATGGGTGATATCACAGACTGAGTTGGGATGACGCGATCGCTGACGGAGATGCTCGAAAAAACCAAATCAAGAGTTGAGGTGAGGTGAGGAGGATGGTGACCCGAACGTGATGAAGTCGCCGGGCCGTAGTTGCAACAAAAAGATATGCAAAATTGTTCCTGTTAAATGTTGAAGAGGGCGGTTTGGGTAGTTATCGTTAAAGTCGTGATATTCGTGATTGATGATTGATGATGGAAGTGGATTTGAATAATTTGATTTTCTCTCTCTCGGTTTGCGGGGGGTTTTTCTTTCTCGGTTTGGTTGGTGAACATCGGTATGGGCGTCTCAGAGGCCGCGCATGGATGAAGAGGCGTGGTGCTCGACATGTGACTAGCGTTGGACAAACACCATGCAATAATCCTCCGTCAGCATATCGCCGACAAGTTGTTCGTTAAATATCGAAGACAGCTTGGCGGCTGCTAGAACTTCGCCTCAGCAGAGGAGAGGGCCAGCGCCGCGAGCTTCTCCTCCACACGACGGAGCACGTGAGGATCCGGTTGCGGCTCGATCTTTCTCGGCGGGGCGCGCGCGCACTCGGTGCACTTCTCGTGGGTGCAGTTTACGCACTTCGCCTCGTCAAGGGGGAACACCTTCTCGCACTCGTGGCAGGTGTAGTAGGCGTTCTTCTCGCCGAAGACGTCGTTGGGGTAGCCGTAGGGGAACTTGTGGGGCTTGGGTCTGTGGTTGCATTAGTATGGGTAGGTTTGGGAATGCGAGTATTGAGTCAGGGGAAGATGCAGGACGACGAACGGGTCTCGTGGGCAGTCGGCACAGCGGATGTGTCCGCACTCGGTGCAGGTCTTGGTGGGAGGGTAGAATAAGGTACCGCAGCGGTGGCAGTTTCTCCGCACGCGCTGGACGGGCTTCTTATGGACGAGTCCCTGCTTCGACGTCCGCGCCGGCTTGGTGATTTGCAGGCGGTACTTCTCGGGTTTCTCGACGACTACGTTGATGGGGGCGTTGTCGTCGCCATCAACCTTGTTTGGGAACTTGCTGGTCTGACCGGTCTCAGATGCGGTTGGCTTTGGTGCCTCCTTTGACGACGAAGCAGCGGCAGCTGTTGCGGAACTGTACGGTGGTTAGTATATTTATCAAAAAAGCGATAGGTACGGTTGTTCCGACACTAACCTTGCAGCAACCGCAGGTTTCGCTGGTACGGACTGGGAAAGTCGCATCTGCGCACTGCTCGAACTCGACCTTCCGATCGCCTTCTTAAACCGCTCGACATACTTGTCAAACCCCTTCTTCTTCTCCAGCTGCACCTCCAGCCCAGCATCCTGGGGCGCATTCATCCTGGCTTAAAATATCCTATCGAGCCTTTTTAGTGGGAAGAACGCTTAAATTCGTCGGGCGCAAAGATGGTGGAGCCTGGAATATTTGGCAAGGCTACCAAGACATGCGAGTTTCCGAGGGATGTGTCGACGACGATCTGGTTGCTATCTGCGTCTTCTAGGGCTCGGAGCGTTGTTGTGTAACCCAAGAAATCTTCAGCGGATCGGTGTCGGAAATAGGGTTTCGTGGTGACCGAGTTGACGGGATTGTTGGGTGAAGTGATAGGTCAGTGCCTGTAATCCCATTACCGAACTTCTCGTCACTTTCCGCTCGTGTCTCGCCAAACGGTCGAGTCTGGAGGGAGAGATATGTTGCGGAAGTGGTGGGGAGTGAAGATGGATTGAAGGTTTTGAAAGAAGGACGGGGAGTAGAGGTAGTTGGAGTGAGGGTAGTTGGAGTGAGGGTAGTTGGAGTGAGGGTAGTTGGAGTGGAGGTAGTTGGAGTGGAGGTAGTTGGAGTGGAGGTAGTTGGAGCAGTTAGAGTAGTAGAGTAGTAGAGTAGTAGAGTAGTAGAGTAGTAGAGTAGTAGAGTAGTAGAGTAGTCGAGTAGTCGAGTAGTCGAGTAGTCGAGTAGTAGAGTAGTAGAGTAGTAAAGTAGTAGAGTAGTTGTGAAGAGAGTTTGTGTAGTTGTCTATTGTGTAGTTGTCTATTGTGTAGTTGTCTATTGTTAGTTGTGTAGCTGTCTATTGTTAGTTGTCTAGTTAGTTGTCTAGTTAGTTCTCTAGTTGTCTAGTCAGTTATCTAGTTGTGTAGTAGTCTAGTTAGTTGTGTAGAGTAGTTGTGTAGTAGTCTATTAGTTGTGTAGTTGTGTAGTTGTGTAGTTGGTTATCTAGTCGTCTAGTCGTCTAGTCGTCTAGTCGTCTAGTCGTCTAGTCGTCTAGTCGTCTAGTCGTCTAGTCGTCTAGTCGTCTAGTCGTCCAGTTGTCTACTGTGTAGTTAGTTATCTAGTCGTCTAGTCGTCCAGTTGTCTATTGTGTAGTTAGTTATCTAGTCGTCTAGTTGTCTATTGTGTAGTTGTGTAGTTAGTTATCTAGTATCTAGTTGTCTGTGTATTGTCTATAGTACAGGTGACTATAGTAGGATTTGTTGGTACGACAGCTGAGACCGGATGGATTGGATGGATGCAAAGGAGCAAAAGCTGAGACGGGATGGATCCGCTGATCAGACCCCCTTTCTTTCCCGCTTCCTATCCCGCAGACCCAGAGACCAAAGCGCCGGGCAAAAGAGAGGAGTGGAGCGTGCGGTTGTGTACCCGCAAAGGGTCTGTTCTCACTGGATCGCGAGAAATGGGCAAATGGAGTCGTGGAGAAGTGGGTTTAGTGAGTGAGATGGCTTAGGAAGTAAGAATGGTGAGACATGGAAGTCTTGGAGAGAAGATTTTGGATTTTCTTTCTTTCTCGCCACGACTGTGGAATTCTTCAAATTCTTCAGCGGGTAGCCACAGCGAATCACTGTAGATGGCAGGGATGGCAGGGGTGGCAGGATGGCAGGGATGGCAGGATGGCAGGGATGGCAGGTACCCCAGCGATACCAGCGATACCAGCGATGCCAGGGATGCCAGGGATGCCAGGTACCCAGCGATGCCAGCGATACCAGGGATGCCAGGTACCCAGCGATGCCAGCGATACCAGGGATGCCAGGGATGCCAGGGATACCAGCGATGCCAGCGATACCAGGGATGCCAGGAACCCAGCGATGCCAGCGATACCAGGGATGCCAGGTACCCCAGATGCCAGGATGCCAGCGATGCCAGAGGGGTATGGGGGTACTTTGATATGGGGTACTTTGATATGGGGTACTTTGATATGGGGTACTTTGATATGGGGTACTTTGATATGGGGTACTTTGATATGAGGTACTTTGACCTGGTACCTCACTCAACCCCTACGTAGCTACGGAGTACGTCAGAGATTGGTTATGGTGGATATTCCCCGTTCGTAGTGGCGTTATGTAGTGTAACCCCACCCACCTCACCCACCATTTATTCCCTCACCCTCACCACCCTCACCACCCCCCTGTACCTGCTACCGGCGGACGGTGAGACACTATCGTCTGGTTGTACAGGCTGGCGTACAGGCTGGCGTACAAGTTGGCGTACAAGTTGGCGTACAGGCTCAGCTCACAGCTATATTCCTTGTCGAGGTGGCGTACAGCCCGTCAGACAAACAATGTCCATCCATGCCCACGTTGCTTGCCGGTTGCTTGCGGGGGGCTCGTCCCTTCCTGTCGTGGGTCTCTGGGCTGCGAAACGAGCCTTTGCCTCTGCTCACCAGACGTCACGTCATGTCACGTCACGTCACGTCACGTCACGTTGGTCTTTGCATCATCTCTATTGTCCCATCGTCTGGATCTCTTATTACAAACTTCCCCATCCCAACGCCACACGGAAAGCCACCCCATATACTATAGAATAACCGAAGTGACCATAACCCTAGTCGGATATCATGGGGGGAAAACAAACAGATCCAAACGCGCCAGTCCCACCTCGCATACACCGCCCTGTCCACAAGCACAAGTAAACGCCGTAGCCAACCCCATAACACCGCCGTGTTCATACTCTCCATCCCGATAATACCCAGGCCCCGCAGCCCTCACTCGCTTCGCAGTCTCTTGATCGAGCCCACAGCCGCAATAGCAGCCTTGCGCTTCGATCTCCCCGTCCCCGTCAGGTCGGCTTCCTCAACCTCCATCCTCACCGGCGTCGACATAGCAGGCTTGCGCCTCGACCTCCCCGTCGCCGTCACGGCAGGCTCATCATCGTCCAGAGTCGCCGGCGTCGCAATCCCAGGCGTCTCAATCGTCGTCCCATCGCTCAAGCTACCCGCACGACTCGCCGGGCTAGCCACAGCCTTCGGTCTCTCCGCCACCGCCGCCGCAGCAACCGCACGCTCATAGTCGCGATCGATATCCGCCGCCAGTGCCTCCACGATGCGCATATCCTCGGGCGACTCGGCGAAATGTTCCGTGCACTTGTGGCACTGGACGTAGAAGGCGTTTGGCTGCTCGAAGTAGCCTAGCAGCTCGTACTCCTTGGTGTTGTCGCCGATCAGCGACGTCTTCTCGAAGTCGAGGCAGTCTTCGCAGAAGGCGCGTTCGCACCAGCGGCACCGGTAGAGCATACCGCCTGCGTCGGTGGTCTTCTGGTCGCAGGCCGCGCACTGGTGCTGGGGGCAGTTGAATTGCCATCCTTTAGTCTTGGATTGGAATTCGCGGTTGAGACAGGCGAAGTGGAATGCACGGGGGCAGATGTTGCACAGGCTGAGGTTGCCCCCGTCCAGGCAAACTTGACAGTGCGACTGGGCTGTTATCGGCGCCTTCTTTGGGCGTTTTGGCTCTGCGAGGCGGACGTCCTTGCCAGAGTAGGTAGGGACGGCTTCCCAATCTTTGCAGTTCATCGACTCCTTGCTGATCGCAAACCCGTCAACCATGACTGTGGTATTCTTGCCAATGCGGCGATCGGCGCGGTTGAACTCGTCCGCAATATCGCGGTAGCTCGATGTCGCTTTGCCATTGCCAGCAGCCCTTGCCAGCTTCTTCCCCTCAAAGACGTGGGCTTCGACTCTCTCCATCTCGCCCAGCCACTTCGCCTCCTCCTCTTCATCAACCTTGGAATCTGGGAGCGTGTCCTTCTTCACATTGATATCCGCAGGCTGATCTTTACACTTCTCAACAGTCGTAGCCCAATCCCAGCTCATCATTTCATTGACATCGATTTCCGGACGTGAAATAGCCGACGTTCCTCGTCGAACAAGAGACATCAACTGGCCCGTGCTGAGTTGAGGCATCTCATCTTCCACATTCTCGGCCACGCGACCTCCAGGTCCCTTTTTGGTCTTGCCAGCTTTGGTATGGATATCCTGCAAGGACTCCGTGACTTTTGCCGACAAATACAGCTTCTTCTGGATCCGACCCAACATTTGTTCTTCAACAGTTCCTTGGCTGACAAGTTTATATATCGTTACAGGTTTCGTCTGACCAATTCGATGCGCGCGTGCTTCGGCTTGCACTGTGATTTGTGGGTTCCAATCTTGATCGAGGAATATGACTTCCGTCGCGGACGTCAAGTTAATACCTAGACCACCAGCTCTAGTTGAGATCAACATCACACGGCTTTCCGAAGACAGGTCATTGAAGAGGCGGATGGCGAGGTTGCGGCGAGCTCTGCTGGTACTGCCATCCAGTCGCGTAACTCGGAATTCGGATCCATTTCCACCACGGATTGCCAGAAAGTCTTCGACAAGATCCAACATCCTAGTAAAGCCAGAAAATATCAAGATCTTCTTCTTTTGCTTGATAACCAATTCCTTAACCAACTTCTCCAAGACGATAAACTTTCCAGAGGCGAAAATAAGGTGATCCCCCGGTACGCTATCTGCTGGCTCGGCATTTTGGATTTGATACGGGTGGTTGCAGACCTTGCGGAGCTGCATCAACAGGTTCATCAACTTGCGCCATGAAGAGCTATTGTCTTTGCTGTCGGCACCTTCAGCCTCTTCTTTCCGCAGTGTTTCCTGGAGGATTGCCCGGCTTTCCTTCCATTCGTCGCTGCCCACAAGCATATCATCCTCGAGGGTCTTCAACGCAGCATCCTGGTCTGCAGTCAAGATATTCGCTGCTTCCCCGTCATCTTTCATAGCTGCCTGCTCTTTGCCTTTAGCGTCCTTGAAAATATCGTCAAGAAGGCCCTGGTCAGCCCGTGTGATAAGTCTAGTATACCAGAATCGCTGCATTGGGCTCAACGGCACGAACAGAACCACTTCGGTCTTGGGTGGTAGATTCAGATTGACGCCGTTCGAAGCTTTCATACGGCGAAGCATTATCAACTCCAGTAGACTCCGGGAGGCGTCAAGGACATCGTTCTTCACTTGCCCTTTGGATAGATTGAACGATTCCGCGAATAGTTCGCTCGTCTTGGCTATGAAAACCTCCGGGTACAGCCAGTGAAGCAGCGCCCACAACTCCGCGAGGTTGTTCTGGACAGGCGTACCCGTCAGGATCAATCGATATTCTGCTTGCAAACCCTGTAGGGCTTTAGAAATAAGACTGAGGTCGTTTCTGTGTAGAAGTTAGTAATTGTATAATTGAATCGATTAACGAGTCCGTACTTGATTTTATGACCTTCATCCAGAACGACATATCGCCATACGAAAGCTCGTTTAAACCAGCCCTGTTCCTTCTGATAAGATTCGTAAGTTGCTACCACAACGTCAACCCCAGGTTCTTCCTCATGATCAGAAGTAGAGTCAATGTCGATTATTGGCTTCCCAGACGCAGTACGTCGACCTTTCAACTTATTCTTTCGCCTCGTGGTTAAGTTTCCGTAGAAGTCTATCTCTCCAGAGGCGATCTTCTTGACGCGGTCACGCTCCTTTGCAGGGCCGTGAAAGCGGACGACCTTCAACCCTGGAGTCCATTTTCGCGATTCGGCCATCCAACTACTGAGAACAGATAGTGGGCAGATCACAAGGAACGGCCGAATTTGGCCTCTTTTGGGTTCGTTCTCTTTGAGGTACTGGATCAACGACAAGGTTTGGAGAGTCTTACCAAGACCCATCTCGTCTCCGAGGATGCCAGACAAGCCGTTACGGTGCATGTATACCAAAAACGAGAGTCCTGAAAGCTGGTATGACTTCATGGTTGCCTTTACACCACGAGGTTGGGATTTGAGCTCCTCGTAAGCAATGCTTCCGTCTTTCTTGGCCTGCGCCTCTGCCGTAGATTCTTTCTCCATATCCACCAGTTTCTTGATATAATTGTGTTCGGTCGGGAGCAAAGGCAGGAAGTAGTCTTTCTTCTCGACGAAGAAGCGTCGTCGCTTTGCGGCGGTAGTGTTCTCAATTTCCTGCCGAACAGCAACTCGATCGGTGACATGGGGTTTGGAGGTCAATTTCTCGGCATTTTCATCGTTTACGTCGACAACGGCACTCTTGCGCGAGTTCTATGAGTATGTCAGCATGGATTCCAACTGCTACTTGATGAACTCACATTTTGCCTGGATATCGATGTTGTCGCTCGTAATGGCCTGCGCCTCTGCGCCTTTGGAGTATATTGGATGATTTCATCATTGTCCAGGTTGATAACCCCGTCGTCAACAAGGTCTATGACAACCGCCTGGGGCTGGCCAGACGGTAGCCGGATTCGCTGGGAGCCATTGGAGCCACGAGATACTGCTGACGAAACAGGCGGATTTGGACGCACTGAATGCCTTGGTGTGCTTGGACTTGCGATCATCTTGTGTTGGGTATGACTCGGTGAGAACTTGGCCAGGAGGCTCGATGCTGTGCTTCTGCGAAATATAGGAGTCGCTGACCCTAGGGTCACTTGCGAGTCCATGACTGACGGCGCCGCTCCTAATGGGCTCTCCTATCTCTGCGATGTGTTTAGAGTTGCCGCTTTCAGTCAAGCACTTCCCAAGGTATGCGCCGGATTTGGATGATGCGAGGAACGAATGTGGTCGCAGTTGGCGACGAATGAAGGCAAGGCGAAAGAGAGAACAAAGAGCGAAGATGTGATTGATTGATGCAATGCGAAAGAAAGTTATTGTGGTTTTCGCAAGAAGGCAAAGGAGGCTATTGTTGGATATGCCTCTCCGAAAGGCTGGAGCGAAGAAAGCAAGGTCTCTCAGCCTGGTTGCCGTGAAAGGTGAGTGGACGCGTAAAGTGCCTTGGGCCCACGAGATATCGCGTAAAGCGCGTAAAAATTAAAAGTTCGCCTTCGGACAATAGTATCGCCGAAAGGGTAGTAATCTAGTAATCTAGGTTTGGGATCTCGATTGATGGGGTACTGTAGCTCAGGTCGTGTAGATTCAGTGCAACAGGCCTATCGTGGGTAAATAAAACGTCAATCCGACGTGCCACGAAAACAAATTCACTCCCTACCTCGCCCAGCTAGTTCCTGAAGGTTTAGGTATTTGTAGGAGCCGTAATATTCAGCCCCCCAGGTACTTAGTTAGGTACATGGAAACTATGACATGGCCCGCTTCACAACAGTAAGCGTCGCTAGGTCTGATGGCCGGTCAGAATATCTTCAGAATGGTAGCCTGGTCCCGAATGAGCCGCCACGAAAGGATGAAACGCCGGGTCCAGATGGCTCCATTGATTTCTACTTGAAGCTCCAGGAAAACGACCCTACCGCCCTCGATTGGAAGCGAAAGCTGGGTGGTATGCTTGTGAGGGATATTGGGGGACCTGCACAAGCAGGCATGTTCCTGATACTACTACTTGAAAATACTATTTCTAACGATACCAAGGAACAAACTTCATCCTGGCTGAGCTCCCCAAAGACTATGTTCTTTGGCAACACCGCCGAGTGAAGGCCAAAAATGGCAAGGCTAACGCCGACAGCGCCCGGCAAGACACTTATCTTTATGGCCATCCGAATGGAAAGGGCAGGTTTAGGAGCGCTCAGGAATTCTATCCGCATCTATTGTGGCTCGCCTGTGATCAGGAGAATGACTCGTTCCATAATTGCTCCTGCAAGTACTGCTTCTCAGATAGGATGGCGGAGAGTGAGGCGGTCACCAAGTCTACCCAACCAGAAGCCCTCACCAAACCAATCGACGGCCGCGCAGAACCACCCAAGGCAGCATTAGCTGCTCCTTTAGCCAGAAAAGCAGCAATCAAGACTGAACCTCGGACCAGCCAAATTCCCAACTCTAAAACCGAGGAACAGAAATTGGACAGTAACCCAGCCAACGACTTCATCTACCGCCCCGGGGAAATCGTTTGGTTCAGCAAGAGGACGAGCGCGTGGGGGCTTTCGGTAGTGCTAAAAAGGGACATTGAGGATAACCAGCATCGTTACCTCTTGCAGCCGTTGTCGCATCCTGCTAGCCATCCTGCCACTGTCGTGAGAGATCGTGATTCAATCAGACCCTGGCTTGCGTGGACTGTTCCGCATCCAACCATTGCTCGACTCCGTGAGCTTACCTACGACCAAGTCCCGTGGGCTAGAGTTGTGACTGGCGAATTTGGCAAGGGCGATCCTGAAGTGGACGGCAGTATTTTGGCTGCAAAGGCAATCAACGAGAGCTACTCATTATTCGACCGCGTTGATTTGCCCACAGCTCCAGGGGAGATGCACTATAAAGGAATGTTCCTTGGTGGCGAGAAGATTTGGGTTGGTGAACCCGTCAGGCTGATGGGCAGGACCAAAGACGAAATCGTTATTTTGGTTGTCAATCAGATGATTGAGAGGACCGTGGACGCAACGAGTGCAGTCACAATCGTTGGGGATGTCTACAAGTTCATCGAGATGCCGATGCCAGCCGAATATCAGGACCGGCAGAACTGGCCCATCAACGAAGACCTTCCTGTACGCGTGAATGCTGATCTAAGCTTCCGGAATCAGGTCTCGGCTGACGCAGGTGGAAATACCTGGTGTGAATGGCGACTTCTCGAGCCAATGGCGAGAAAGGGCCTGAACGACATTAAAGGCCGCTGGTACGAAACCAAACTCCTTCTCCCAACCCTGCGGGGCAAACCTACCTTTGATCTGGACGTGCAGGCAGGCACTGTATCGGATGCGAGCTTGTTCATGAATTCAAGAGGGGAAGTTCTCGGCTCTCGCCCTGGAATACGGAAGAAAAATCGGCTGGCTACTTTAGGAGGAGCGGTTCCAGCTGACACCAAGATCAGCCGTGGGTTGGATGGACCACCGGAAGATAATATTATACCAGCTCAGGCCCAGTAAGAGGGCGGACTTCGAAAAACTCCATCAGTCTAGAGTCTAAAGGCTAGCCTAGATGTTTGAAATACGGGAGGGTTAGAAGCAAAGATTGTGGAGCGAGTCGATATCTTTACCGCGAAGTAATATCTGATATAATCTAACTATGGCGTTGCATTCTGCTATCACAAATATTCTAGAGGGCGCTGGGTCGCGAATCGAGACGATCCAGGTACGGCAGGGGCAACGTGGGTAACAAATGTCTCTCGGTTCGGCCCTCGCTAGAGTCATATTTTAGGAAATTTTCAAAAAATACTTCAATCAATCAAGCAACTGCTTCGTCGCACTCTCTATTGATGACAGTTGAACTAACAACGGTATGCTGTATATATAATCTAGCATTTGAGTGCTGAATAGCAAAAGGTTATTTATACTCATCACGCCATTAGTGGCGCGGACGGCAAAAGGAAAGCTCCCTGCCCGGTTCGAACGAGCGACCTGAAGATCTGCAATCTCCCGCTCTACCACTGAGCTAAAGGAGCCGATTTGATAATAGGAGATGGTTAAACATATATTTGCGTACCACTTGCATCGACATGGGGCACAAAAATTATGGGTAACTTGAGAGGTTGTGTGGAGTACGAACCACCTTGCAAAACAGGTGGGGGAATGCGGGGAAGAGAAAGAGAAAGAGGCAAAGGCAAAGGCGAGGAGGGGCAGGAGACAAAAAGAGAGTCAGGTACGACATTAGGGATCTGCGGGACTGCGTCTCATAATTGTTCGATTAGCCATTCACAATTGGCAAAAGGTAAGCCTCTAATTGTTCGATTAGCCATTCACAATTGGCAAAAGGTAAAGCTCCCTGCCCGGTTCGAACGAGCGACCTGAAGATCTGCAATCTCCCGCTCTACCACTGAGCTAAAGGAGCGTGGTTGTTGTCTGCTACTATACTAGCACTACATTACCACCTGTTACATATGGCTCCAGGATTCAACAGATTTTCCGTGTTGGGTTGGTTACGATCTGAAGCTATAAAATCGACATTTTATAGCTTCTTAATACAAGATTTATTTACTGTGTTGATTTAGCCTGTTCTCGCAATTAACATATCTTTGCCTGGACAGCCCCTGATAAAATGTCATGACCAGCGGGAGCTAGGAGTATCGATTATAACGTCAAGTTACCAAGCTCCATGGCGCTAAGATTAGATAACTCCACGAAGGCACCGCCACCACCACACCTTCCCTTCATAGAATATAACTTCGCACTCCCTCCTCATACACTGTCACTGCCATATATTGAATGGCATGACCCATATCCAGCCATGACTGAGATCATAAGCGGCCAGGTGCCGCCTCTTATCCTTGGACCCTCTGACAAAGAGAAGAAATACGACCGCCAGCTCCGATTATGGGCAGCAAACGGTCAACAGGCCCTGGAGGATGCCCACATTTGCCTAATAAACTCAGGTTCGGGCACTACAGGTGTTGAAACCTTGAAGAATCTCGTTCTCCCTGGTAACTATTTACCTTTGCTTTGGTAATCCAGCTGACTTTGGTTTCCAGGAATTGGCCAGTTCACAATCGTCGACGACAAATCCGTGGACGAGTCCGACTTGGGAGTCAATTTCTTCTTGGAGGAGGCGAGTTTGGGAAGACCTCGAGCTGAATGTTGCAAGGAGCTTCTCGGCGAGCTCAACCCAGACGCTACAGGCCATTGGGCAACCAGCTTCGATGAACAGCCGGCGTTTACTCTTGTCTTGTACACAACCCCAGTCAATGACGAACTCCTCGAAACCGTCAAAAAGTACTGCCAAACCCACAAAGTTCCACTAGTGTCCATCAATTGTCTTGGGTTCTACTCCTACTTCAACATTACTTTCAATGGAAACTTCCCCATAGTCGACACTCACCCCGATTCCACAGCAACCACAGACCTGAGGCTCCTGACTCCCTGGCCAGAGCTAGAAGAGTTTGCCCAAGAGTTGACTGTTGATATCGACAATCTCAGTGCCCACAAGCATGGACATGTCCCTTACGTAGCACTTCTGCTGCACTACTTGGAGGAATGGAAAGCCGAGAACTCGGGAAGCGTACCTCAATCGTATGCCGACAAGGTTAAGTTCAGGAAGCTAGTAGCAGCTGGCGCAACCGATAGCCCCGAGGGAGCTGAAGAGAACTACGATGAGGCTACAGCTGCTGTATTGAAGACAGTGTCGTTGCCCAGTCTTCCAAGCTCTGCCAGGGACGTTTTTGAGTACGAGCCAAATCAAGTAAGTTATTCCATCTGAGTGTGAGATAAATAGTCTAACTTGACAGGATGAGGCAAAATCTGGGTTCTGGATTATTACAGAGGCAATTAAACAGTTTCACCAGAAATATGGTGCCCTCCCCTTACCGGGATCGGTTCCTGATATGAAGGCTGAGTCGGAGGTCTATATCCAGCTTCAAAGCATATATAAGAAAAAGGCTCGCCAGGACGTTAATAAAATTTTGGAAATTTTGGGCACTATCCCCAACGGAAGCGAAGTTGAAAAGGAGGAAGTCGAGACATATTGCAAGAATGCTGCATTTATCAAACTTGTCCGGGAGTCCGCGCCAGATCTTGACAGACTAAAACAACTTGCAGGTAAGTCTTTGCAAACTACCTCCCCAGCAACCCAAGGCTAATATTCAATCAAAGACTCGGAGCTAAACGCAGAATTCGAGCTGCAACCAACACTATTACCCGTCTACCTCGCCCTCAAAGGCAGCGAGTCCGCAAAACCAGAACCAGGCGCGGCCGCAGCCTCAGCACCCCAGATTTTGAGTGAAATCTCCAGAATCGTCCCAGATGCAGCCAGTGATGATAGGCTCGTCCGAGTGGCGACTGAAGTAGCCCGGGCACAGGGTGGCGAGCTACACAATATTTCGGCTCTAACCGGTGGTATGGTGGCCCAGGAAATGATCAAAATCATTACGAAGCAGTACATCCCCATTGACAACACGTGCGTGTTTGATGGGATTGTGAGTCGCTCTCAGATTTTCAGGATTTAGCCTTTCGTGGTTTAGATTTGGGGGTCTGCGGACAGGGTCACTTGGAGCTACATGTATTCACGAGTGAGTATCTACAAATGGCGTTTGCTGCGGTTTAGCGTATTTGCTCGCACTACACAATGATGTTGATAAGATGTATCGAGATGAAGAGTTGGGTCGCGGCTGAGGCCCAATGCTCCATTGCCAAAATGTGGGAGATGAAGAAACCATAGAGTTCGGTTATTATAAGTGGCCAGCTACAGTAATACTTTCCAAGATGGAAAACAAAATGGAAAAGGTCTGGGCAACACGCATCATTATGTAGACTGTTATAAAACCTCGAGAGCGAGTTAACGAAGGCCCAGAATTCCATTGAGATACCTAACAATCCAGTCTCTGCCATGACTATTTTCCCTCCTTATTACGAGATACCAATAAGAAATTCGTGAATATGTAAAACATAAATAGGTATAAGATGGCCCCATACATCAGTCCGGCCAGAGATATAAACATATACCAATAATCCAGCCCCATTCATACATGTTCAAAACACCCTGACGCCTATCCCACAAGCAGTCCAGTCGTAGATACATCGCGTGCCCCAGAGCAAGGTGAAATTATCCTTGGTTCATCATGTAGCCGTTATCGTATTGCCCCTGTCCATACTGCATGCCTTCGTCCTCCCCATTCGGCATCCCGTCAAACGTCATATAAGACCGTCTAGCAAGTTGTCCCAGAGCATCCCATCCAAATCCCATATGTTCTGGTTGTCAAGGAGCATCCCCTCCTCCATCATCATCTCCGTCATCTGCTGCGCTTGTTGGGCATGGTGTGCGCTCTCCGTGCCAGGCGACATGTCACTATCAGCCATATGCTGGTACGCTTGTCCGCTCCCATAGCCGGACTCCATCTGTCCATCCCATTGCGCCTGCAGCCTCGGGCTTCCCTGACGCGTAATAGGTCCCTTACTCGCCTCATACATCCGGCCGACCACCTCCCTGCTCCGCCTCGCAGCCAAACTCCAGTCTGCCATGTCGGCAAAGCACTCCAGCACAATCTCGATCTGGCGTTGCCATTCTCTCACCATGGACGTGTTCCCGCTCTCCCAGAACAGGCTGACTAGAGGGATCATGGACGCCTGGTACATGAACCACACCGCGTTCCAGACATCTGGTTCTGCGTCCACTCGCACGAGATGTCATCGATAGTCTGCTTTGCCATTGCGCGACACAACTCGACGGCGCTGAGCTCCTCGGCTGTGGGGTGATAGTTTGCGCCTCGGTTTGCGAGGTTGAGAAGCATGGGGCGGTGGAGCACGATGCGTATGTTCTGGTATTGCCATTTCAGCACGCAGCGCGCGGTATAGAGGGCCTCTGGGCAGGGGTCTGTGGAGCGTAGGACCCAGGGGAGTTTGTCGGACCATTCGACAAGTTGGGCATCTAGTTTGCTGCGTTCCTCGGCACGGGGGAGAGGGGATACGGCCATTGTGTCTTGAATCTGAGTGGATATCCTGGCGAACTTGATGTCCTCAATTACGGGAACTACGCGGATGTGTTGGCCAGTAGTAGAGTTTTCATTCTAGATGTTGGTTAGCATAAGTGCAGTCATAGGACATGTGAGAAGACCTACAGCATCATTGGCGCCCTCGGGTGGTCTGATGGTGACCGCTGGACCCAACCTACCCAGCGAAGGGCGCCCGAGGGTCATTGACGCCCAAGTATCTAGACAGAACAAACTCCACCACGTTCGACGCCGCAAATCGGCGAGCATCTTCTCCCTTTCACCACCATTCACATCTACGCCATGCTCTCGATGGAGGCCAAGAGCACAAGCCATCCGCAAAGCCGCACCAGTAATGGCATTCGCCATATTTGGTCGGTTGATATAGTGTAGATAATAGCCTCCCGTCAATATAAAGGCCTGTAGGGTTTCCAAATGCCCTTGTCCAAAGCAATCCAAGTTGAGATGGTCCCGAGATCGCTCGCAAAAGTTCATGTGATTGTGGTCATCCGATTTCATCGCTGCAATGCTGCCCATAGCAAATACCATATTTAATAAGGCAAGCCATGGGGAATCATGGCGTTGGCCACCCAGGTAATCGGCTCGAAAGGATGGCTCATCAAGTTTTGGAATGAAAATTTGAACTCTGTTGAAGTACGCATCGATAAGAGTCTGCCCCTCCGAAGACTAGGCTATCCGGGAAGACGGCCGAGGTGTCGGATTGTGTCGCGGGGTTGGATTGTTGCTCTGTCGAACCTGAACTGTGCGTCGATTTTCCGCCGTTGGTGGCATGAGATATGATCGTAACCTCGGGGATACCTTGACCATCACCATTAGGGCAGCTTTAATCGAGGATGCCCCCAGATACGACGATTGTCGGTCTACTGAGAGTGACAGGGCGTTCACGTCGTCAGACTCGATTACGCCTCTCCTCATCCCATTCTGTGTCCTGGCTTGGTATTTGCTCGACGGTTGCAAGACTTCTATCCTCTTCCACGCCCGAGCTGTTGGGTGATCGATATTGCTGTGTCGTTGCAGAGTTCATGGAGCCCGCTGGGGAGGTCTGGGATATGGACGTTGCACTCGCGCGATTATCGAGGATCGAAACAAGCTCATGCCGTGAATGCCGCTCTATTCTAAAGAAGCTATACCCCAACACAGATGTCCAGTCATTGTTACCGTTATCGACTGTTGTAGTGCATCGTATGCCAGCCTGGAGAAGGTAGTACTACCTCCGCGAGGGTATTACTCTCTGCCTATGCTTGTCATAGTAACACGGCTTCGGAGAACGGCACCCCAAGCATTGTTCACAGGGCTGCCTTCCATCGCATCGAATTTTGCGCCGTTTGCACTCAGCACAGGCATGAGGGGTCGTTATTCTCTTTGAGTTTCCATTCGTTGGGGGCTTCAGAGCTTCCTGGGCCACCTCGCAGGCTCGCGGGCGGGACGCATGGGGATCGATGTCGGTCGAGGGGATTCGACCCTTCGATGTTTCCACGGGTACTGATAAGCGGGGAAGCACAAAAGACCACGAATCGGACGGTCATCTAGTGGTTCTTCTCTGCGAATACGAAAGGCTGGACAAGCAATCTCCACGGTTAGCTTCGATAGGATAACAGGACAACGACACCCAACACAGGAAGTAATTCTACTTTACCGCATACCAGAGTAGTAACTCTCCTGGGGGGGAGCAAAGTGATGAGTATCAAATCCAATAATATATATACATTCATACTATCAAACATCCAGATATATAGATGGAGCAATAGTTGCAATGGGCAAAGGCTTTGGCTAGAGATACCCCACCATTCCCCAGTCTTGTGCACTAGCGGCCGCCCCCACCTCTCCTCCATGATACTGTAAATTGTGAATGGCGTACAACCTTCACATGTGCTCAACTGCCTTTCCTCTTGGTCTCAATAAACGTGAGAGAGGGGACGGCAATGTTAATATTTGATACGTGAAGACTTGGGTTCTCATTGAACCTTTTTGCCAACCGTGCAACGAATTCTGCTATGATGGAGTGTGCTCTTCGGTGCAACACTCTGACATGTCGCAAGGAGCTCAATGAAGATGCCATTGTTACAACTTGCAGGTATGCAATGGCGAGGGGAATTGCACCGTGATCCATCTGTTGCATACTAACTAACACGATATAGCCATATCTTCTGCCTCGATTGCGCCACTCGACTTCTATCGGCCAATGGATCGAATCGCCTGGTTTGCCCAGCATGCGATCAACACCTCGCCAATGAAGATGATGTGGCAAGAGCAAAGCTCCATCCAAGTGAAGACTATAAGACGAGCGTTCTCAGTGGCTTAAACCCAAATACTATCATGGAGTGTGCTGGACGAGCCATGAATTTCTGGGCCTACCAGACATCGCAAGAAATGTAGGTGCGTCTTGGCCATTACAATTCACGGTAGTTAACCCACTTCCAGCTTGTATCAAGGGATGCAGGCGCGAGTTCTTACAGATAGATACAATAAATTGAAAAGTCAAATCGATTCGATCGTCCGCGACGCCAATAACGAGATGTCAGAATTGAGGACCGAGCTTGACAGTAAGTTGAATGGTAAGTCTCCTTTTCTGGGACCAAGCTTATCTCTTGACAAAGATGCGATTTCTGATCTCAACAATGCTCAAAAGAAGAACCATGAACTGGCCAAATCTTTGCATGCAAAATCGAAGCAGCAGGCTCATACGCAGGAGCTTTACGATAAATTGAAGCGCCGAGATCAGATGAACCAGGTCCAGAATGCAGCATCTGACGCAGTGGATCAAACGATTCAAGGTTCAGCAACTGCAAATGGGTATTCCGATCACTTCAGAAAAGCCAATGACCCGCCTCTTCGATCTCCTGTTTTCCCATCGCTTCAAGGAAACTCAATGGGCCCGCCACCTGTTCCAACATCCATGCCGCTGTCTGGCGTAGCTGGTCGAACTGGGCTGAGCAATGGGTGGATTGGCTTTACTAGCCAGGGGAATAATAACCAGGGCATTTTTTCTCCACCCCTTTACTCAAGCTGCAATGCTGATTATTCATACAGGTCATGTCGTTGCACAGACACCTTCGAGCCAGCGGCAAAGACTTATCGGCGAGCCCAACGTTGGGATAGCTGTATCCAACATGAACTCTCGTAGCCTCAGCACCCCTATGCAGCCTCGACATTCCCCAGCACGAGGTCTGTTTGGAGGCGTGAGGTCCAATGGATCAGGTGGAATCGGCTTCGCTGGGTACGGGATGAGCGCCGGATTGAAGGTCAGCCACACACCACCACTGGGAGTCGAGGGGATGCGAAGTATGAGTAGGACTGGACCCATGCCAAGAGGTATGACTCTCAATCTCCCCTCCCGCAAAACCTATCAAATTAATTCTCAATAGTTGCCCAAAGGCCAGCCTCAGCTACCTTCATGGGTGGCCGCTCATCAGTGTACGGAGAGGCTCCTGGACTCAGCAACCAAGGAGGGTTCTACTAACAATACACAACGCCTTCCTATACAGATATGCTACACACACACTAACCGGTTGAAATATAGCATACCAAGCTCCTCATGTACTTTATAAGTGCCGTAAAGGCAAAATGTTTGTCTCTAGCTTGCTTTAGAGAAACTAGGCAGCGGTGAAGCCGTTCGGGGCTGACTACATCAGAAATAGCTTATCTACAGTTGGCAAATGCATGCATACTTGAAAGAAACGTGCTCCGCCCACGAGCTGCTTGGAACGGCTAGCATCCTTGTGGGCGCCCTTCCAGACGGCCAAATCGGGTCCCAGACTACGACGCTTGCATTCTGGGAGGTTCAGATCAACTATTCTGAGTAAATAGTGAGATGTAGATGTTGGCTGTTGCCAATTATACAGTACGCTTATATACAGAAAATCATAAGGATATGATTTTCGATGGCCGCTTTGTACTTGTAGAGAACAGTATGTATCTTCCATACTACACGTGGATATTTGGACGCTGCATTTTTGCAGCGTACATTTCTGTTCCACTAGCAGTTTCGATACGGTCAACCATCAAACCAATCAACGGCCAAAATATGCACCCTTGGGCGCGCAGATACGCCATAATCATCATAACAATACAACTCCTCCCCGCTCAACCCCCCTCATCGTCACACATTAGCTACGCCGCAATCCTTCAAGGCGTGGAGATTTCTCTTCCGTTTCCCCGATACCTTCGTTCCCGCTCAATTGTCTGCTCAACCACATTCGTTTCCACAGCCGCGTCCCCCGTCAAACTACCGTCCCTCGTTTCAGGCACTCGTCATCGCCCTCCTCCATCAAGACAGCCACCCCATTGCCACTGTTTTCCTCGATCAAACGGACAGAACGGCCTCATTGGGAGCTTGAACAACCTGCTACTGTAATATATATCTCGCCACCCTCATGGGTAAACGTATGGCTGGACGCTCCACCACTTCGCATTCGCCCAAGATGCTAATTATTTGTCGCAGACCGATGGGGAGTCATACTGGACGCAGGTTCGTCAGGGACTCGAGCGCACATATATAAATGGCGGCATAGCGACTATGCGAAGGAGAAGGCCTCGTCGAAAGATTTGAAGAGCCTGCCGCATCTCAAGACACACAAGAAATGGACGAAAAAGATACACCCCGGCATTTCGACATTCGGCGAGCGGCCAACAGATGTCGGAGAAGACCACTTGAAAGAACTGCTCGACCATGCTCTCGATATCGTACCGGCTGATCAGGTCGCGGACACGCCTATGTTTCTGATGGCAACAGCTGGGATGCGCCTGCTTCCTCCTATACAACAAGTCGCACTTCTCCGCGAAGTCTGTACATATGCAAGAGCCAACACGAAGTTCTCGCTGCCCGATTGCGACCTGCACATTCAGATTATTCCTGGGGAGACAGAGGGTTTATACGGCTGGATCGCAGCAAACTACCTTGTTGGTGGCTTCGACACGCCCGAAGAACACGCTCATGGAAAAGACCACCACACTTATGGATTTCTCGATATGGGCGGTGCTTCGGCACAAATTGCATTTGCACCCAATGCAACGGAGGCACAGAAGCATGCGGACGATTTAAAACTATTACGAATGCGAACCCTGGATGGAGTGGTGTCGGAATATAAAGTCTTTGTTGCGAGCTGGCTGGGATTTGGCGTCAACCAAGCGAGACAGCGATACGTATCAGCATTAGTTGACTCGGTGGACTCGAGCAAATCCTTGGAAATTCCGGATCCATGTATTGTCACCGGACTGACATTGTCGGTTGATGGCGCCATTCTGGACCCGGATGCGGCGCGGCACGCTTCGAAGCCATACTTAGCAGGTCAAGGATCATTCACCGAGTGTTTGAAGAAGACATATCCATTGCTTGAAAAAGATGCAGCATGCGTAGACGAACCATGTCTAATTAACGGACAGCACGTACCAGCCATCGACTTCGATGTAAATCACTTCATTGGAGTCTCAGAATACTGGCATACAACGCATGAATTCTTTCAGTTGTCCCACAATGAGGAGAGTTATGATTTTACAAAATTTCAAAGCCGAGTACGAGAGTTTTGTAATTTGGACTGGGATGAAATCGAGCGAGGCGTCGATACAAAAAGGTGGGGGAAGAAAGTGGATGAGAAAGCCGCCTTGGAAATATGCTTTAAAGCATCTTGGTTAACCAGCATCCTGCACGAAGGCATCGGCATACCACGGCTTGGCGTTGATGGGGTCCCAAAGGGCGTCAATGGAACAAACGACGCTGTCCGGAATACAAACGAAACTGGTTATTTGGATCCGTTCCAGGCCGTGGACAAAATTGATGGTACAGAAGTCAGTTGGACTTTGGGAAAGATGGTACTCTATGCTGCCGGCCAGATAGAACCCCAAGGAAAGGATCTTCCCGTCGGCTTCGGATCCAACGTACCGTCTGGTATCCCAAGTGACTTCCAGCGGGCAGGGTCAACATACACACCATGGAAGGGCGGGGACGATGATGATGATTGGGATGACATAATACAATCAAAGCCGTCAACCGGTCTGTTCATTATGATCTTCATACTTGGCTTCCTTTTCTACATATTCCGCAAGAAAGATCGCCGATCGAGAGTCTACGGAAAGATCTCCTCGGCCATACGCCGTAGCAGAAATAAGAAAGGCGGGCGCAGCTTCTTCAATACCAGCAAATTGTTCGGCCGCAAGTCTGGCTACTACGAAAGGGTCCTCGAAGAAGGGGATGGGGTCAATGACTTTGAATTAGCCGACGTGGACTCCGACGATAGCAATGAGGCATCTGATAGCAGCGAAGGCAGCAGCGGCGCGCGCGCATCCGGCTTGGCAACCCCTAAACTCCACGTCGTCAACTACGGAGATGGAAACTTTTTCAGCCCCGTTGGTACTCATGGCTTTCATGCCGATGGCAGCTTAACGTCGAATCATTTACTACCCAATGCTATGGACAGGAGCGGCTTGGTTGTGAGAACTGAGTCAAGAGAGAGATTAGCGCCAAGCTTGACAAGCGTGGGATCAGGAAGGAGCAGGAGTAGGGCTGGGAGTCCGACGAGAAAAAGCCCCTTAATGAGCCCCGTGGACGAGGATTGAAGGAGGTTGAGTATTTTTATTCTTGTTTCAATATAATAGTGGACGGGTTCTTTACTAGTAGCGTGGCGCTTATTCTGTGGGCAATGGGATACGGTGTTTGTGGCATATGGCAAGGAATCGGGTTGGCGTCTCTTCATGTGCCATTGTGGATGGCATTTATATCACGGTAATTATGATAGTCGGCAGCAGCATGTATGTATGTTAGCATAGTAAGTAATTACTTAAATAAAGCATCTAGTTGCTGCCTTGCATAGCTTGTTTATATATACAAAATTGTTGTATAAAATCCTCGTAAATGTCCCAAAGCTTCGAATATGACGATAACATCTGCCATCCGTTCAACCTCTCTATTCGCCGGGGACACATGATTTTACAGTCATCTCATTTCTCAGGTCACACCCCTCACCCTGGGGTTTCGGAAGTGGCATCTTGATGAAGGATGACTACTCAGCTGCCAGACTAGAAGCACCATTGGGGCACAGCTGTGCTCTTCCAGCGCCGGTGCTCCATACCCACTTTCATGGGTGGACTGGCGTCGCTGGCGCCACTGGGTCTGATATCCCGCCTCCGAATGCTAGAACCCGCTTCTACAGCAGCGTGCTTCAATCTGCATCTCTCATCAGAAATTCTGGGTCATTCTTAACCCTAGCCTCAAACTTCGCCCACCAGTTTTCGAACGCTTTCAGCGGCACCACTTCCACCCCCGCCGTCCCGCTGCTTCCTGGAACCGGCACGTTTCCCGCGAAGCTCGCCAGGAAGTTGAATGCGTTTTTAATGATCCTCTGCGCCAGCACGAGCGCGTCGGTTCTCTGGGCCCCACCATCCTGCGTCCTCACGAGGGCATTCCCTGGCGTAGCTGCGGCGCTACGTGGTTGCAATGTGGCCTTAGAAGACGGTAGGGCCACCATCTGGGCGTTCACTGACTCGCTGGACTCGACGGATATCCCAAGGATAAGATTGCGTTCACCAGGCCCTTCAGGGGCATCCATGTCAACCTCTCCATTAATAGCGTTCGACCCGTTTCCGTTCGAGCCAATGCCAGCAACTTTGAAGATTGCACTCTCTTTTCCTGGCCCAATGCCGCCTAGAAATTTAAACTCCGGGGCCTGGCCCTCGTTGGTCGGGGAGTAGGCTAGGTATACAGCTGCGGCGGTGTCTGGTGGGAGAGTGATGCCGGGGAGGAGGACGACAACAATATGTGAGAATGGGCGCGCAGGAAGATTGAAGAGGAGCGAGGTCGGTGCCGGCGCAGTGGTGGGGGTAGTTATGATAGGGCAGCCGGTAGGTATGACTCCGAAGAGCTGGGGAAGAGCCATTGCAATCCTAATATGGCGTTCTTGAGGTGGCAGCAATTTCGTCGTCGCAAAAGCCTTTGCGAAAGTGGCAGATATAGATGCGGCGATCCGTGGCGCGTATATCGCCTCGTTTTCGATTAAATGGCTTCGATAATGCGATCGATGGACGCCGTCGAGGCCTAATATATTGTTTGAATAATCTAGACGCTTTGGAACGACTTCCTTTGTGGTAATGTAATGATGTTGAGGGATAGGATGCTCTACTTATTACGGGTAAGCTTGTCTGTAGCATTCATTTGGATACCTCATAAAGTACGTACCGAGTCTTAGTGGGGTGTTCATGCAATCCGGCGCTGAAACCGTCTGGTACCGAAAGAGGAAAGATATTCTATCCCTACTAGCGTAATTTCAATTGCATACCAAACCTAACTAATATGGACTGTTTTTTGGTGTTCTTATGTCCTGGGGTTTCATACACTCACGTGATTGCACTAACTATAGAGAGAAAGGCCAATTTTAGGGTAGCCTGTCCGTGGCTTAACCTAAACCTATTCTAATAACTTATATGAAATAACTTATATGAAATAACTTATAGGGCAAAAACTCCATCTACCCGGTACAAAGGTGAAAAAACGCCATCTACCCGGCAAGCGCTTATCCCCTTTCGGAACCCGCAACAGGCCAATGAGAGCACGTACTCTCATGTGGCCTTTTCGAAACAATTGAGCTGGCAACACTTGCCAACTCAATTGTACGGTAAGTCGGGGGTTAATTGAGACCCCCGAAGCTCCTTTCCTCCCTCTTCCCCCTTCCATCTAGAGCCCCGCTGACCCCTCCTAGGATCTCTCTCTCCCTCGCTCCTCTGACCCCTCGAAACCCCCCTCGGAAGCCCTTGCGCGAGGCACAAACTCCCGCCTCCCCGCCCCCGCCCCCGCATCTGACGATGGCCTCGCTGGCCGAACTCGCTGTCCCTGTCGACGGCAGCGAGTTCCTCGACTTAGACGCTTGGTCCCGCGCCCTAGACGACTGGGCCGTCAAGGAGAAGTTCTCCTGGCGGCTCCAGAGGAGGGACAAAGACCGGGCAACGGCCGTTTGTCCCGAGGAGGGCTGTGCCTGGCGTGTCCGAGCCAGCCCTGACGACGAGCAATGGAAGCTCGTCGTCGTTGAGGGGGCACACACTTGCGTGGGGAGGGGGCAGCAGAAGTTTGCCTCCTCCTCAAAGGCAGAATGGCTGGACGGCGTGGTGTCTCGAACACCTACGGGTGTCGAAGAAGACCACGCCAAGGGAGATTGTTGAGCTCCTCCGCGTTCGATTCGCGGAGGGGATTCTCTACGGGAGGGCGCAGCAATCGTTGCTACGCCTTCTCGTAGGGGATATTGGAGCGCAGAGGCATAGCTTTCAGCTATTGCCCTCATATAAGCGCCTCCTGGAAGCATCTGCTCTAGGAGTTCATGTTGATCTCGTTCGAGATCGACACGACCGATTCCAACGGATCTTTGTGTGCCCTGCGGAGAGCAGGGCCACGTTCCAAGCCTCACGCCGGCTTGTTGCGGTGGACGGGACCTTCTTAAAGGCCCGTTTCATCCTTACTCTTCTTGTGGCCGTTGGCATTGATGCTAATGGCCACATTGTGCCACTTGCTTGGGCAGTGGCCGAGTCGGAGAACGCGGACTCTTGGGAGTGGTTTTTGAACCACCTCAAGTGGTCCCTCCCAGAGCTCGTGAGCAAGCCAAGCACCCTTGTCTCTGATAGAGACAAGGGGCTTCTTATTGCGGAGAGAACTCTCTCTCCGCAGGTGGTGATAGCTGATTGCTGTCGTCACCTCTCTGAGAATTTCTCAGAGCGGTTTGGGAGGGGCCTTCTACCCCTCTTCTGGAAGATTGCCCGGGCCACAACTGTGGCCCAATTCGACGGGCTTTTGGAGGAGCTTCGGGCTTTAAAGCCCGAAGCATCAGCATACCTTTATGGTGCCGAGCCCGAACGGTGGGCTCTGGCGAAGTTTCGTGGCCGTCGATACGGCCACGATACTTCAAATATTGCAGAGAGCTTTAATAAGCTCATCCGCACAGATCAAGAGCTCCCAATCGTGGAGCTTCTCGATGCGCTCTGGCACCGGGTGATGGCCCAGCGTGCGGAGCGCTCTCTTTTGGCTGTGGAGGCCATTGCTAAAGGGCAATGGCCTCCTCTCCTCACTAGGTTGGTGGAGGAGGGGAGGAACTGGGCCCATGGCAATGGGCTCCAGATATCCTCCCTAACAGAGGCACGGGTAGTCCAGCCAAATGGCAGGATCTACCTCGTTGACCTGACGGCAAGAACTTGTTCTTGCCGTCGATACCAAGAGAATGGCGTGCCTTGTGGGCACGCCATGACTCTTATATTTCGACAAGGGAGTCAATTGACTCCCTTTCTTCCGACAGAGCTGTCTGCCGCGTGCTGGCAGAGGCAGTATCAACTGCCTCTGCCTCCTGTCTCTGTCGAGGGTCTTTCGATAGACCCTGACGCCTTAGGAGGAATCTGTGACCCCCCAGTCACCCGAATCCCCCGAGGCCGTCCCCGAAAAGAGAGGGTTCGGAGGGAAGATGCCCGGCATCCTCGAGGACGCCAGGAACGACGGGATCATGGAGGACTTCTGCCGCTTGGGGCAGTCGTTGCCGCCGTGCCGGACTTGGTCCGTACACGCTGCGTGTAATGGTGGGTGCACCAGATATGAGAATCTAGCCACCCAAGGAAGGGATGAATTTACTAAGACAACACACTGTCTTAGGAAACAGAGCCAAAGGGTTGTAGCTTAGACTATTCCACAATGCAGCAATCAGGTGTATGATGTGGTGAAGTGGTTTAGACAAGTTGCAACAAATGTTGAGTCTGAGAACTCAGGGGTAAGTCAGAGGTTAGCACCTCACTGACTTTTCAAAAACAGAGAATAACAAGATCAATGCTTGGAAGCTTGGAAAAGACGTAGAAGTATGTGCTAGTCGATTTACTGTATTGCCTGCTTGCCCTTTCTTAAGGAAAGGGCAATCCTATTTATGCCAAAGGAGTGTAGTTCTCTTATTTTCCATGACTTTCCATGACTAACCAGGCTTGGTAAATGTATTAGAAATCAAGTGCGACCCACAACTAGCTTGCTAATCATGTAGTGAACGTAAGAGAATCCCATAGAACCATCTCTTGGGTTCCTAGCCTATAGGAAGTGAAAAGGAGGTCCAAGGTCAGAGTACCTATAGACAAATTATGTCATAACTTAACCAATCTTGTGGGTAACTAAGGAGCGATGACATGTAATGAATCATAGAGGGTTGTAGAAGCTTCTAGAGCTATCGTTCATGTTCCTAGGCCTCTAGTTGGTAGAGATATGCCATGTGGTAGTATTGGCCCACCCCCTTAAGGAGGAGATTTTCTTAATAACTTGTTCAATGAGTGTCCAAATGATATGCCGTGATGTATGTAGCATAAACAGATGTAGTAGAAGAGTTTGCAGCAATCGTTGAGTAGTATTGCTTCTGTTGTTGGTGTGATAAGCCAAGATATGTATGGTGACTTGTAGGTTTGAGGAGGAGATTTCTAAGTTTGCTCTTGAGTTTGATAGCAAACTGAGTGCAACGAATGTCAGTATGACACTGCGGCACCTGCGGCGAGCCTGGGCACAATGCCAGGACTTGCCGCAGGCCTCACAATTGACCTGTTCTCATATGAGAACAGGTCAGTTTACAGGGGGGGTTACGGTGGGAGTTATGGGGGGTTTACGGCCTGTTCTCATATGAGAACAGGGGGATTTACGGGTGGATTGGGTGGGGGATGGTCACGTCGTAATCGACCGGGTAGATAGAGTTTATTTGGGTTTTTACCGGGTAGATGGAGTTTTTGCCCTAACTTATATGAAATAACTTAAGGGCAAAAACTCGATATACCCAGTAAACTGGTAAGAAAACTCCATCTACCCAGTCAGCCGCTAACGCTCCTTTGGAAGGTTAACGAGCCAATGAGAGGCGTACTCTCATTTGAGAGTAGTGCTCTCATATGGCCTTTTTGAAGCAATTGAGCTGGCAATATACCAGCTCAATTGCATGGGAAGTCGGGGGTCAATTGAGACCCCCAAACCTCCTCCCCCTTCCCTTCCTCCCCTCCACCGAACCCCGCTGACACCTCCCAGGCTCCCTCCCTCCTCCGACCCCCTCGAAACCCCCCTCGGAAGCTCTCGCTGTAAGGACAGTTCGAACCGAGGCTGACCTTCAAGTCTGCAGAAGTATCCGAAGTATAATGTGAAGACTTCGATACTCGAAGCAGTAGGACAAGGTATAGTAGTTCAGGCTCCAAAGCATATGCTTTATACCACAGGGGTCAAGTGGTGAGACTAACAGGTTGGCCAAGTGGTTCGACTTGAAGTAAGGGAATGCAAAGTAAGACAAAGCAGGAGGAATTGCAAGAAGGCCAAGTAGTATATAATTTGCTAGCTAAAGATCAATAAGAGACATGAGCAATAAGTGCTTATATAACAGTAAAAATCCCTAGTGCCAAATAAGCGAAGGCACTAATTAACCGAACCCTAGCTAAGCGAGCCCTAGTGCAGCAAGCCAATAACAGAGAGCCTAAGCCAGTAGTCAACATTTGGGCTGATCTAGGTCAGCAAGTGAAGCGAAGTGAGCGAAGTGAGCGAAGCAGGTGAAGTGAATGACATAGTGAAATAAGTACTAGAGACTAAAGCGAATCGAAGGGTCATGACACAAATATTGAAGGAGTGTCATGACACTCGCGCAAGGCACAAACTTCCCCGCCTCCCCCGCCCCTGCCTCCTACGATGGCCTCACTAGCCGAACTCGCTGCCCCTGTCGACGGTAGCGAGTTCCTCGACTTGGACGCTTGGTCCCGCGCCCTGGACGACTGGGCCGTCAAGGAGAAGTTCTCCTGGCGGCTCCAGAGGAGGGACAAAGATGGGGCAACCGCCGTTTGTCCCGAGGAGGGCTGTGCCTGACATGTCCGAGCCAGCCCCGACGATGAGCAATGGAATCCCCCGCAGCCGACCGCAAAAAGAGAGGGTTCGGAGGGAGGATGCCCGGCGTCCTCGAAGATGCCGGGCTCGCCGGGATCACGGAGGACTTCTGCCGCTTGGGGCAGTCATTGCCACTGTGCCGGACTTGGTCTGCACACGCTGCGGCACCTGCAGCGAGCCTGGGCATAATGCCAGGACTTGCCGCAGGCCTCATAATTGACCCGTTCTCATATGAGAACGGGGGGAGTTTCTAGATTGGGCTTGGGCGGGTCACGTGGGATGGAACTGGGTATATAGAATTTATTTATTGTTTTACTGGGTATATGGAGTTTTTGCCCATAACTTAACTATATGAAATAACTTATATGAAATATAAGTTATGCAATCATGTTATGCTATTTGAGCTGAAACCCTCTACTAGAGGGTTTCAACTAGAGGGTTTTAGGGCAGAACCATTAGAGCAATTTAGCAACTAAATTACTATCGCACTTTTAGCATGTGACAGTAACTAGGGCCCCTGCCCCTCTATTCCCAAATTGGTGCTAGGCTCTCTAGGCTAAGAAATTGCCATATATGGCAATATCTAGTACGCCTATACCCTGCCATCATGCCTGTCAACCCTTACAATCAGCAGGGCTAACAAATGGCAGATTTACTGCCCGCTGCCCTTAATGAGGCACTTGTAAGCCCTTGTCGCAAGGCACTTAGAAGCCCTCGTCACAAGGCACTTGCAAGCCCTGGTCACAAGGCACTTAGAAGCCCTCCTTGTCGAGGCCAAAGACTAGCGCTAGGCATTAGCACACAAGGAGACGAGGGCTGGATGAGGGGGAGGTGCTCCTGCTGTTGCTATAAGTGGTTTGGCAGCTAGTGTTCATTTATGAACACTAGTCATTCTGCCTAGGGGACCTGCCCCTAGGTAATGCGTAGCGCCTGTTCTAGTTTACAGAACAGGAATTACGCCAGCTGATGTTACAATTACAGCTCACAGCTTGTTACGGTTATTATGGTTGTTATAGGTATAAGGGGATTACGGGTGTAGCCTTAGCCACCAAGGCTACAACTGCTAAGCGGACAACTGTATATTACAGGGAATAGCCTCACCTTCCTTCCTTCTTCTTCTTCTCTCTTTAGATTCAATCTAGCTTACTTTACCCGGACTGGCACCATGACCTCCATGACCATCGTAACAGCTGATTCCCCTGCTCTATATTGAGGAGGTGACTTAGCAGAACCGTCTTGTTACGGCTACGGTAATGTGACATCATGGTTACAGGACCAGGCCTAGTAACGTGATGTCATGGTTACAGGACCAGGGCCTAGTAACGTGACGTGTGAGTCACAGGGGGCAAGCGGGGTAGGCTGCCATGTGACGGGGCTAATGGATAGTTGCAGAAACTAGTGGATATTGGATAGTTGAGCTATCCACGAACTATCCTGAATATCTAGCTATCCGCCAACTATCCAGATTACCCATGAGGCATGACGCCACTATATAAGTAGATAGTATTTCCTTAGATAGGAGCTTCGTGCTCAACTCAATATAGTATTCTTTACAATACTGTAACGTGTTACTTGGAAAGCCTTTGTGTCTAATCCCCTGCCTCCTCTGTCAAGTCAACCTTACGCAAGAAACCTCTGTGTCTTCTATCATTTAGAAGTCAGCATTACACGTCTAGCACTGACTATAGAGACTGCTCTCTACATTGTCTATGCTAGACTAGCCTACCTAGGCTGCTAGGTTAGCCTCTGTCACGTCTTTAGATGCTCTAAGGCCTAGCTTAGCACTGTGTTTAATGACATAGTGCTATTCCTCACAGCCTAGTTTAGGCTGACTCTCTAGTAGCACCACTAGCTAACATACCATCGGCTAGTAGAGTTTGCCACTAGGGTCAAGAGAGTCTGTGGGTTTAGGGGGGTCTAGGGCTTTATAGATGGCACTTTCTGTCTACATTGCCAGCACAAGGCAATGTGGCCTAGAGAGCTGTGTTCTCTAAGCACAAGCGCCTTCATAGCGTTAACTAGCAAGCCATCTATACCCTAGATGGCTTGATCAGCTCACTCGTAGGGCCATTTGCTAGCCTAGTTAATGACTAGGCTATATAGCATAAGTCTGGCTGTGACGCAGCTATCCACAAGGTAAGTCCCCCCTTCCCCCCTCTACTACATCATCGCTAGCAGCTATGCGACATTGTCATTAACAGTGCTAACCTTAGACTCTAGGTCCTTAAGCTGCTTCTTAACAGCAGCATTCTTTTCCTCCCTATCCTCGTCCTTTAGGGTGCTGCCTATCTAACTCGCAGCCCTCTTGATAGCGCTAAAGAGGTGTTTGAGCCCTATAGCAATAGGATCCCCCTTAAGGGCTATAACTAGTGCTAGGGCAACTAGTCATCACCATCGTTAGGTTGTAGGGTCTATGGTTGTGGGGTTCGGGGTCTTAGGGGCACTGCTACTCTCATCCTCATTGTCCTCTTGCTAGTAGGCACAAGAAGCAGCTCTTAAGAGCTGCATCTTGTCTGCCTAGAGCGCAAGAGAGGCCTGCCGCTAGGCTGCTAATGCAGTTGTCTCTGTATTAGCAGTGCCTTGCGCCTCTTGCCAAGCTTGCTTAACCTCCTCTTTGGCATTAAGCATAGTGATCTAGGAGTCTAGAGCGTCTGTTATAGATGACTAGGCGTCTTGCCTACTGCTATCAAGCTTAGCGATATATGCCCTACACTCGCGGACAAGCTTAGCTACAGCCTAACTAAGCATTTGGTGCTCTTTGCCTTAGTCTACTATAAGGCGCTTAGCAATCTGCTTCTAAAATGCTTAGTTAGACTAGTGGCCGTATGTGGCCTGCTACTCGATGTAGAGCTGCACGACAAAGAGCATGTCCTTAGCAGTCATACAGTTTTGACTGCCATAGGTAATGCTAGGGGCAGCGCTAGTAGCACCATTGTTGTCATTGTCATCCTCCTAGGTTAGGGGCTGGCTAGGCCCTTTATAGGAGAGGGGGAAATCTATAGATGGGATGGGCAAGTAGTCAAGGGCAGGCTAAGCCAGTCGAGGCCAGGGCTAGGGCTCTTAATAGACTCTCTAATAGGTTTAGAGAGTTGGCTTGCTATCTGCATAGCAAGCCAGGCCATTTGCTAGATGCCATGAGGGTCAGCTTCTATAGTTATTATAGAGTAACAAGTATTGTTAACCAGCGCCATGAAGCTATGAAAGCACATGATTGGGCATTGGTCACGTGATCCCAATGCATCAAACGTGAATATTTCCACAACCCCCCACCAACCTCACTTTCCTTCTTCTTCAACAACGCAATGGCCACCACCAAGGCTTCTGGCCTCAAAGCCACCGGTAAGTTCAATTCCTTCCATTTCCTTTGTTTTGTTTCATTGATTACTGTATACTAACCTTCGGATAGAAGATCTGGCTGCCGTCGCCCCCGCCAACACCCTCACCACCACCACCACCACCACCACCACCACCACCATGACTGAAGCTGGCGCTGCACCAACGACAACCGGTAAGTAACACCCCTCCCTCCGATCAATTGATAGATAGATACTAACAACTGGATAGATGAAGCTGCCTCCGAGTCGACTGTCCTGACCCCGACCTCCACCGCTACGGATACGACCTCGACCGCACTGACTGCAACACTGACCAGTAAGTAACACCCCTCCCCCCACACGATCGATAGATAGATACTAACAACTCGATAGGTGATAAGCCCTCTGTGCCGCCAAAGTCTCCAATGACCACCCCAACATCGCCACCACCTGACCCTGTGTCGTCTCAGGTGCGCCCCTCGACAGCGCCAGAACTTGCAGCCTGCCCATCACCCGCAACACCCGCACGCCCAGCTACAGCCGTAAGAAGTAAGTAACACCCCTCCCCCGCAAGATAGATAGATACTAACAACTGGATAGGTTTACCGCGTCCAATCGTCCTCGACTCTCCAACCCAAGGCCAGCAGATGGCACTGCAGCTGCTGCAGTCTGGCTTGTTAGAGGAACCCCACCGCTCCTGCGCCCTCGCTGGCCTCATCGCCCTCCCCAACGCCCGACATTTGGAATTTCGCGCCCTCAACTCCAACGACCCTCCCAATTTGTAGAGGATGCAAAACCTCGAAGCGGCAGTTGGGTATACGGTTGGGGAGCTGGTGCAGCTGCAGTGCAGCAGCTGTGCAGCTGGTTACGGCCACTTCTCCGAGTGCGTCTGCGTGGGGGGGACTGCCACTTCAGTGGAGAAGGCGCGCGCTGCAACCTCTGCAGTAAGTATTCTCTCTCTCTCTCTCGTTTTGATTATTGTTTTAATACCAATGGAATACGCTTTCTGGCTCCATCCGCGCCCGTGTCCACGCCCTCCTCCATGCTCATTACGGGCAGTCTGTCAGGACGACGTGGTAAGCCCCCCTCCCTTCCCCCCTCATCCTTATTGTTTGTGGTCCATAACTAATAGATAGAAGGCATGCGTGCCCACCGCCCTGCTGCAGCCGCTGCACCAAGCGCCCGCGAGGCGCCTACAGAGGAAGCCCGTGGGGGCTGCAAGTGCGCGGCTCCCCAGCTCAAGGATAGCCGTCCATCCTGCCGCGCCTGCGCCTGCTCGCTGTCCCCCCCCTGCAACACCCAGACTGCCCTGGCGGATCGCGTCGCCGCTGCTGCTGCTGCCTCCCGTGGTAGGTTTAATCCTATGGAGGAGCTTGCAGCTGCCATCTGCCATTTCCGGGGTGCCTCCCCTCCTCTAGGGAGATGGCCCGACTGCGCCACCACATCCTGGTGCATGTCATACTGACATTTTTTGCACTCAGTTTGCTATCAAACTCAAGAGCAAACTTAGAAATCTCCTCCTCAAACCTACAAGTCACTATACATATTTTGGCTTGTCACACCAACAACAAGAGCAATACTACTCAACGATTGCTACAACCCTCTATGATTCATTACACGTCATCGCTCCTTAGCTACTGGGCTGATATTACCACATAGCATATCTCTACAACCCTCTATGATTCATTACATGACATCACTCCTTAGTTACTGGGCTAATACTACACATGACATATCTCTATCAACTAGAGGCCTAGGAACATGAACGATAGCTCTAAAAGCTTCTACAACCCTCTATGATTCATTACACATCATCGCTCCTTAGTTACCCACAAGATTGGTTAAGTTATGACATAATTTGTCTATAGGGGTACTCTGACCTTGGACCTCCTTTCACTTCCTATAGGCTAGGAACCTAGGAGATGGTTCTATGGGATTCTCTTACGTCGACTACAGTTACCAAGCCTGGTTAGTCATGGAAAGTCTTGGAAAATGAGAGAACTACACTCCTTTAGCATAAATAGGATTGCCCTTTCCTTAAGAAAGGGCAAGCAGACAATACAGTAAATCGACTATCACATACTTCCACATCTTTTCCAAGCTTCCAAGCATTCATCTTGTTACTCCTTGTTTCTGAAAAGTCAGTGAGGTGCTAACCTCTGACTTATCCCTGAGTTCTCAGACTCAACATTTGTTACAACTTGTCTAAACCACTCCACTACGTCATACACCTGATTGCTGCATTGTGGAATAGTCTAAGCTACAACCCATTGGCTCTGTTTCCTAAGACAGTGTGTTGTCTTAGTAAAATCATCCCTTCCTTGGGTGGCTAGACTCTCACATCACCCACCATTACACTGGTGATGAACTTCGTCAGCTTCGAGGATGGTGTGCCAGCCGGGTTCATCTCTATAGAGGGGTCGGGGAGCCTAGAGGGGCAGGTTGGGCATGGTAGGAGGAGAGAGGAGGAGGCGGAGGAGGATGAGGAGGAGGAGGAAAATGGGGGGGAGGGGGCCAAAGGGCCGTATATTATTGTAGAATAGTGTAGAATAGTAAATGACATGCCTACAGGCAATTACCTTTGTTTATTGTGCTGTATATTATGATTAGAAATATGATGTGAAGTCTTATGGATAGTTAAGGATAGGTTCTTAAGGATAGGTGATAACAACACCCGTAGACAACTGTAGATGGCCGTAACAGAACAGAAACACCCTCAAAAGTAGACATTAGAGGCTAAGAAGTAGTATAGGACGTATGTCTAATTGATTCCAACTAAAACCTCAGGATATACTACATTCTGGGTAGTATTATCCTGTCCTTCAGGGAGTAGGACCTGTAGTCCAGCTACGGAGGACGTCCGTGACATTGCAATGTAATGTCATACTGACATTCGTTGCACTCAGTTTGCTATCAAACTCAAGAGCAAACTTAGAAATCTCCTCCTCAAACCTACAAGTCAACATACATATCTTGGCTTATCACATCAACAACAGAAGCAATACTACTCAACGATTGCTGCAAACTCTTCTACTACATCTGTTTATGCTACATACATCACGGCATATCATTTGGACACTCATTGAACAAGTTATTAAGAAAATCTCCTCCTTAAGGGGGTGGGCCAATACTACCACATGGCATATCTCTACCAACTAGAGGCCTAGGAACATGAACGATAGCTCTAGAAGCTTCTACAACCCTCTATGATTCATTACATGTCATCGCTCCTTAGTTACCCACAAGATTGGTTAAGTTATGACATAATTTATCTATAGGTGCTCTGACCTTGGACCTCCTTTTCACTTCCTATAGGCTAGGAACCCAAGAGATGGTTCTATGGGATTCTCTTACATTCGCTACATGATTAGCAAGCTAGTTGTGGGTCGCACTTGATTTCTAATACATTTACCAAGCCTGGTTAGTCATGGAAAGTCATGGAAAATGAGAGAACTACACTCCTTTGGCATAAATAGGATTGCCCTTTCCTTAAGAAAGGGCAAGCAGGCAATACAGTAAATCGACTAGCACATACTTCTACGTCTTTTACAAGCTTCCAAGCATTCATCTTGTTACTCCTTGTTTCTGAAAAGTCAGTGAGGTGTTAACCTCTGACTTACCCCTGAGTTCCCAGACTCAACATTTGTTGCAACTTGTCTGAACCACTTCACTACATCACACACCTGATTGCTGCGTTGTGGAATAGTCTAAGCTACAACCCTTTGCCTCTGTTTCCTAAGACAGTGTGTTGTCTTAGTAAAATCATCCCTTCCTTGGGTGGCTAGATTCTCACATCTGGTGCACCCACCATTACATTCCGTAATCCAAGGCGACGTATTCCATTTTCAAGTTCCCATTCCTCTTTGCATTGTGCTCAATTGTATTATTAAATGCTTCAATTTTAATTGCTGCTTCTCTCTTCTCCTTTGATGTCTCCTTTTTCCAAATGTGATATGGCCCCTTTTTACCGTATGTAAAACAGCTCCACCACATGAATTCCGACGCTCCATGCCATCGAGAGCGAATAACAGATGGCTCGAATCTCTCATCTTTTGTCCTCCATACTTTAAATCCTCCACGTCGATGGCCAAGGACAATAGATGTTTCGTCTGTCCATATAACATTTTTCCAATCCGTAAGAGTCCAATGTGCATATCGTAGAGCGAATTGTAGTCGTGCTTCTCTCATCGCTTTAGTTAATCCTGGTTTCCATGTTGGCTTTCGTTTTATCAGTTTATGCCGTTGTAGTACTCGAAAAGCAGTCATTGTAGACACACCATTTTCATAACCAATTGTTGCTGCTGTCTTCTCTCGAGAGTTCCAGTCCATTTTTATACTCTTTATAAGAGTCTCTTTGCCATTTGCACTTAGTTTCCGAGGGCGTCCTGTTCAAGGGGCATCAATAAGATATTTATTGAGTAATTGCTTGTCAATATCTGGATTATATCCACGGCGGCGTGCTTCAGCCATGTAGTATCGCACTTGCCGCTCGGAAATTTTTGTATTCTCTTTAATTTGCTGATATGTAGCTCCATAAGCTCAGAGTCCTATAGCTTGAGCTCGCGTTGCAAGAGAGTAGGAAGGCATATTTAATATCTGTATTATCTTCTACTCTACAAAATACGAATTGACGATGCCTATTTACTGACTTTACCCCTATTTTTAGCCCCGAACGCTACATTCCTTGGCACTGTTAGCCCGGCAAGGACTTTTGGTACACGCCTCCGTAGTTAGCCATAATCAACAATTTGAACGACATCCTATGTTTGAAATAGGTGAATACTGTATATCTATATCTCCGTACATACGATACACTACTAATTTACTAGGCTAGAAATGGCTCTGTCACAGTGTGACAGTCCCCTTTCCTATTTGGGCACGTGGGGCCGGAGTGGGCACCTTGGCATTAGGTACGCCTTGCCAAATATGTTACAGGAACCTTCTGGCATGGGATCGAATTCCTCTATAGCGTTCCTGTCTGACGATTTTGTATATGGACCACGCAGACTAAACTGTCGTTATATTATACACCGACATAAATTTGCTCTTTTTAATATTACTTAAGAATCAATCTGGGCCATAGCGTTTGATCTGAAAATGTCGGCCTCAAAGAGTAACTTAGATCTCGTCAATGATTGTGACTGGTAAGCACCTCATATTCCACAACCCAGATGATATTTTCAGTGAGGGTTTGATGTGTCTTCAGTTTTCCATATGCCGAAAAAGACCCAAAAGCTCATGCGGAGCTCATGTCCACTCTGTTCACCCTGACCTGGGACGATGGCGTAAACAAGGTACCGATTGGCCTCATGACGGAGAATGTCCTGAATAAGCTCGTAAAGACGCCTGTCGCGGTCAAAGGAGAGCTCGAAGTACGCCGCGACCAGCGTGAGGTTTGTGTTTTCCACGATAAAACCGAGAAAGAGAGGAGTGAGTGGGTAGCTTTGACAACGGCATACTGGCGGGAGAACAAACAATTTGAAATTCTTGAAGGCTGGAGGAATGAGCTATACCCTGTCTATGGACCGAACAACGAACTTCTGTATAGCGTTGAAAGAACTGCTGCAGCACTGCTGGGAGTCGTCATGTACGGTGCACATATGACGGCTTATACCAAGTCTCCAGAATCCAGTTACGGGATTAAATTATGGATTCCACGACGGGCCGCGGATAAACAGACTTATGGTGGGATGCTGGACAACACTGTGGCTGGTGGGATGGCTACAGGAGAAGACCCCTTCGAATGCATCATCCGCGAGGCAGATGAGGAAGCCAGCTTACCAGATAAGTTAGTCAGGGAAAATGCTACGGCTCACGGCGCTGTCACCTATATTTACATGAGATCGAAACTGGCAACTGGGGAGGTCGGGCTTATTCAACCAGAGGTCCAGTATGTGTTTGACCTGGAACTGCCGGAAAACGTTGCTCCCAAGCCGAACGATAGCGAGGTGGAATGCTTTTATCTCTGGGCGGTGGAGGAGGTGCAGGAACACATGCGCAAAGGAGAATTCAAGCCCAACTGCGCCCTCCTCCTGCTCGACTTCTTTATCAGACGCAGGATCCTAACACCGAAAAACGAGCCCGATTTTGACCAGATTAAGAGCAGGCTGCACAGGCCGTTGAACTTCCCAGGACCACATGTAGCGCTGGCTTAATTTTATTTTGGCATTTAAAACTCGACGCCATCTAACTTTCCGTTTCCTGAACGCCCATCCCTAACCAGCTATGCACCAGAAGAGAGCCACTGTGAACCCGAGAACCTTGCATAGAAAGCAACCCCTGCGTAATCTATCATTTCTTAATAAGCAGATAGATGTAATCCACCCGCAATGGAGTGAGCTTCTTGTAGGGCCCCTCCAGTGCTAATAAAAGCCCGCCGAAAGATACATAACATTTGCTACATTGAATTGTCAGCCACGAGAAGTTGCTGGGGGGGAAGCTCTCGAGTGAGGGGTCTTACATTATATTTCCATCATCCCCATCCTCGAACTTGTAGATCTTGCCATGGCAGACGTAGTCAAACAGGTCCGCAAGTGTCGCTTCGCCACCTTGTCCACTTCGGCCGACGTCTCTCCAGCCTTTGTTGTCATCTTTGCTCCCATCCAACGAGAGGGTGCTGGCCAAAACCATGTGCAGTGGCTCACCGACGGCGCATGGAAAGAGCTCTGTGTTGATATCGAGAGCAAAGGTTGTTTGCGAGTCTTGGGACGTTGCGCTGATACGAGACACTCGGTCATATTTGGATTGGTCGCTTGCTGTGATGGTGAAGTGCTCATCGAACAGCTGCGAGTCGCTGGTCATGCCAGACATCTTGGCAGGAGATCTTTGGCAATTGCTTATATATATGCGGTGATTGTGATTGCGATGCGAGAAATGGCAAGAGCGAGTGTTGCCTGGTTGTCAAATGTATGGGCGCGCGAAAAATAGTTCTTCAGTGAAGGTGCTGGGATATGCCGAAACTGACGTCGGAAACTAGTCGGTGCAGCGGTGCTCAAAGTGGCGCAAATAGAGGCTAACTTGCTGTCAGTATATTCCAGATACTCTAATTTTAATTTCAATTTTGATTTAGATCGACTTACCTTGAACTACTCTCAACCACAAGTCGTTCTTGTCCTTTTGGTCGGCGGTTGTGAGAGTTGGAGAATTCACCAAGGACGGATAAACAAGCGCCCGAAAATAGAGGGGAGGTCCCAAACCCATAAAACCTTGAACCAAACCAAGGTGACTTTGCGTCACACATACCCCCCATTGAAGCAAGCAATATCAATAATCTAAGGCATGTCATTTCGAAGAAGAAATGTAGTTGTCTCTTCACCTGGGGCCGCTGTACCACCTCCGAGTGCAGCAGAAAAGAATGTCATCCCAGGTGTGCGACCTTCGCCAATCGATGGACGACCGACCACATCGACCGGAACGAGATCCCTTGATAGTTTGCTGGGTGGGCATGCTGGTTTACCTCTAGGAACCTCCCTCCTCATTGAAGAGAGTGGTGCTACGGACTTTTCGGGTGCATTGCTTCGGTACTATGCTGCTGAAGGCGTTTTACAGGGTCACTGCGTTCACGTGCTTGGAGTCGATGATTCCTGGGCGCGTGAGTTGCCCGGTGTTCAGGCCTCGTCATCGCTGCCTGCTGGGAAATCTGCACAGAATGCTGCTGCCGAGAAAATGAAGATTGCGTGGAGGTATGAGAGGCTTGGGGAATTTGGAAAAGGTGGGCGCTCTTGTGCCATATGCCGGACAGTTCTCAAGGATTACTGCCCATTGAGAAATTTTCGACCCGATGCTGACCCTCGACATATAGATAGGCAATCAGGCCCCCAAGCTAGCACAGGTTCTAATGACTTGAGCGGGCAAGCAGACTTTTGTCACGATTTTGATCTCAGCAAGCGCCTGACTCTCCCCGGTCCAACGCTTTTAAGATGCGTCCCTGTGCATCCTCAGGCGGGTGCTACTATCCACGGCGATGAGGGCATAAAATCCCCATTCGACGGCTTTCTGCGGCATTTGGTGGCACATATCTCTTCCCTGCCACAAGGAACGATTCACCGCGTTGTCATTCCCACCATTCTTTCCCCTGTGGCATATCCAAGTGTGGCATCGGATCCTCGGCATGTCTTGCAGTTTCTTCATGCAATACGCGCCCTTCTCCGCCGATTTCCAAACCAACTAACTGTCATGACATCGCTGCCTCTGTCCCTCTACCCTCGCGTGTCCGGCTTGACGCGCTGGGTGGAGATACTCAGCGATGGAGTATTGGAGCTTGCCCCCTTTCCATCACATGCGAACCTTGCTTTGGCTACTAGCGTACCTAGTTCAACAATGCTGCAGGAAGAGCCTCCACAGGGGTTACTAAGGGTCTATGAGTTGCCGATATTGCACGAAAAGGGTGGGGGGGAGCACCAGAGCAGCGGGCACACCGATGACTTGGCGTTTACACTGAGTAGGAGGAAGGGTCTAACAATAAAGCCCTTCAGCCTGCCACCACTTGATAGCGACGATAGTCCTGACTCACATCAGCATGACTCTGGTCACAGTCATGGGAAATCTACTAAAGTGGACATAGAGTTTTGATGCAAATCAATATAGTCGAGTCCAGTTATACGGTCTATGACAGTCACCAGCTATGACAAGGTAGGGAAGCGTGGAACATACCCTATGGATACAAACCAAGATATTATGGGGTATATAGTATGAGTTCACTGCAACTCGAGGTCTGCCTGCGATGCAAACATCGTACTGGATGTGTGAGCGCGCGAATTGTATGTTGGAGGTTGGAGCAACATAGAACATAGATATGATATACTTATAATAATCAATCACTCGAATAATTCGACCGTTAAAAAACCCCAATTTGAATACAACAAACACACTTAAATTTTGAAATGAGCTAGGCACTAAATCCATAAATTGCTACTATTTAATTACCGATATATATGTTACCTCGATAAATTAAACATGTTCATTTAGAATGGAGCGATATATATATGGGCGTTCCGGACTGACGAGGGATTGTTTCCGTGGTCATGAATTACGATACATCAGTAACCAGGTTCGGTCGCTTGCGATTGCCAGCCAGGCGAGCGATAGTCGCTCGTTTCTATGTTTTGCGGAGGGTCCGACCTTCCTCATCGCAGCTCACTGAACTCAGCACTTCCCAACCTCAGCTTCCTCCAGTACCATCCGAACGGTAGTAGATGCCAGAGCGACAGTAGTCCCGCTAGGTCTCTCACCAAAGAAGATGAGGACATCCAGACTGACCTTTGGTTAATGCGCGCAAACAAAGCCCCCCAACAACATATCCGCTACAGAGACTCAGCCGCCATCACTTCCCGGCTGGACGCTTGCTTGCCTCCGATTTGCTCGGAAATCGACAGGCTGGTCAACCTTTGACAATGGAAGTTGGCGAGAAAGCAGGCAATCTGGACCTGGGCAATGCGACGACAATATTCAATCTCACACTGTGGACAACGAAGCAGCTGAAATCTGCAGCGAACTTGACCCAGTACGCTCCTTCTGCAAAGGACCTCCTCCTGGCTGGACCACGGATGGGGATGAGGTTGGGTTCGTTTGTCTTCAAACTACCTCATACTATCGATGATGCATTCGGCGCTCGATGGGCCCAAAGTGTCACCACAGAAGCCCTCGACATCGGCAGGGTTGAAGTAACCTCGAATACAGCAACAATGGTGGGGGAGATGGCAGGGTCGGCAATAATGGACAATCCAGCAAACGTCGCTCCAAGCCTAACATCCAAAATATCATTGGAAAGTGGTCGAAGTTTTGGAAACATGGTAGCATATGCGACAAGTCGCTGGAGTTTGGGATGTTTCCTGATGGCCATCATTGTGAACCGAACTCAGGTTTACGCTTCAACACGTCGACCTCTTGCGCTGGGGATCCGCACAAGACTGGCTCTCAGGGCCCTTCCAATTATTATCCTAGCGATACAAGCTCGCTGGCTTCTCCAATCTATACAATGCCAAACTTCGCCGGACTTTGGTATGCTTCGGTGGGGCAATGCAACAAAAACGTCTGAGCTCATGTTTACACAAAATGGAGGGCCGTTGCATACCATGAGCACCATCCTGCTACTTGGGGCCTCCGATGGGGATTCATGCCGTGCTGTGAGAATGGTCCCCCCTATAGAGGAGGACCAAGCCGATCCACAAGTACTGAACAGCCCACCGAAGCTTTCGGGATCACTGGCGATGCTGTGGCCCCTGTTCCAATCCTTATGTGTTAGTCAGTTCGTGGAAACTCTCTCCTGTGCTGTCCAAGGTCGCCATGTCGCATCGGAAACTGGTATGACTTTGTTTGAACACTCCCTGACGTTTGCAGAAGCCGATGCAGCTATCAGTTCGTCACTCGGATGGGGCCCGTTTGGTGGAACACCATCAAAAAAGAATCTAGATAGTCACACAAAGACGTTCTCGGATACATCGAATAATTCTGGGACATCAAGCAGATTTCCAGAAATTGCAATCAGTCGGTCGATGATCATGCAGCGGATCAATACTCCAGCAGAAGTTCTTCTCATCGGTTTCCTTTCAAGCATGAGCCATATCACGAGTCATATTCTTGGCATTTTCAACCTTCAGGGCCGATTTAGGCTGTTGAGCACCGCATTCTGGGGACTCTGCTTCATGGCAATGATAACCCGTAGTATTGTTGACTTCTCTGTCGATGATGCCTCTAATCAGAGTCTGCTTAGATTCCCCACCGTCTGCATCATTGGGTTTATTCCGCATCTGATGATACTCGCCGGAATATTACTCTGCGCGGCCATATATGGCTTTGCCATTCTCTTAGCTGCCTTAGCACCACCGCATGGCGTTCAACCACAGAGAGGATCATTTTTACGAAATCTAGCAGCAGCGCATAATAATATGCAAGCTAGCGTTCCTTTGGGGAATATCCGTGTTAGCCTGCATATGGACTTCTATTCGGCTCTCCTTAAGATTGGGTTTAGTGCTTTAACTATGGCGAGCCAAGCCGTCTATCTCAACGAGAGCCTCGAGGTCAATATTAAACATCAGACATGGCTTGAGGATGAGAGACTACGAGAGATTGAAGAGACAGGAGCACATTGGCTGGGACCAAACTTTCGTCAGGGGATGGGGGACGGCTCTGGCCTTGTTATCAATAAGGACCATCTGTCAGCAAGGAGTGGGTATGCAAGAGAGAGAGTTGCACAAGACCCTGGGAAAGCCAAACCATCCGACAAAATCGTACGGGATGGGGTTGGTGCCACAGAAAGGAGCGGAAGATGGATTATGGCCTTCGAATTTCTGGCTGGAATTGCTAAGCTTATTGCTAGCTGGTTTGCCGTGGTTGCAATTAAGGTGTTGGCCCGATTGGGGGTCCGTGGTAGGCCACTGTGGCTACACTGGCTTGTCAAGAACAAGAGTGCAACCCAAACTGCTGCGACCAAAAGAGACGTCAAAGGTCCGGAACCCGAGACCTTGGATTTTTGGCTATTGAATAATGAGGGGGAGCTAATGCTGCCCCCGGATGACAATGTCGACGTTGAACTTGAAATGAGGCGCCACCTTCGAGGTGACAATCCACGATGGTCTCCTCAAGACGAGCAGCAACTCGATTCAAACCTGTACGGCTGGTGGTTGAAAGGTGGTTGGTGGGGAGGGGATGACAATAGTGGACAGTTCGTTCCACGGAATAGCGAGGTGGAGGATGATATGACAAGTATGATCTCAACATCTGATATATCAACCGATCAGGGTTGGGACTCAGAAAGTGACGAGGATAGTGGGCAACGGACGCCAACTCAGAAATATTTGTTTATAGATCGAGAGTCAACCCCAGTTCCGGATACACCCCTATCATCCGCTGAGCTGGCACGGCTACTAAATCCACAGACTCCAGATCAACGTGCCGAAGCTCAGACTTTAGCTGCACACTTAGGCAGCGACACTATCATGACTCGTTCACGATATCGAGACCTGCACCAGCGAGAGAAAGCAAAGGTTCTGATGTCAACTCGGCTTCGCCCTTCGCACCTCCATGACGTTGAAAGGCTCACTCCCGAAGAGGAATCCCAGCTGCTCGAATATCTTATCGTTTCACGTCGTCACTCCTCAGGAAGCGCCACTGTTGCCACATCTGAGCCATCGTCATGGGCCGAAGGGGCATCCGGGGTGGGTGATGGTGGCCCACTTTGTGTCGTGTGCCAGAGTACTCCAAGGAGTATTATTGTGTGGCCATGCCGTTGTTTGAGCCTTTGTGATGACTGTCGGGTGACTCTTGCTATGAACAATTTCGACAAGTGCGTCTGTTGTAGGAGAGACGTGGGTAGTTTTAGCAGGATATTTGTCCCTTAGTGTGCTTACATAGACGAGTAGTCACGATTGCTGTAGCATTATTTACACAAAACACAAATAACAGTTCCAAATGGATACGAAGATAATTAGTGCATCAGAAAGTTGTGAAATTGGCATATAGTAACCTATGTGTGTGTGGTCAGCTTGTCGCATATCTCTCCATTGAACTCTGCTGAGGTAGAGGTATCCGTAATGCTCCACCCTCTACATCCCACCCCATTCGATGCAAAATGGACGAACGGTGTTTCCTTGCGTGCCAGGACCTTCCCCCCCAATGAGAAACCCTTTCTTTACACCCGTGCCCAAACGCCCACCGCCCACCAGATCAATGAGGGGTATCTCTTCTTCCCAATCATGGCCAACGGCAAGGAAGTGACTGTGGAACCTCAAAGGATCCCCAGGGTAAACAGTATAGTCGCAGCCAAACCGAAGGCCGGGTGTCATGAAATAGTCGAGCGCATGCAAGTGGCAAAACAGTGCGTAGGAAGCCGGCACAACAGGATCCGGTTGCTGTATGTGACCTTGGGACAAAGGCAATACGGAGCTTGTAGTGGTTGTCGTGACGGCATAAGGTGCAGAAGAAGAGACGGATGGCGTGGAGGCTGTTGGCAGTGATGGATGATCAGGGAACAAAGACTCTTCCGAGGCTGAGCTGTTTGAAAAACTTGTCACGTCGGTTGGTTCTGTCGAGGACTTGGCAACAGTAGACTGCAACGTATCTTTTGAGGCTCGTAATAGAGCTTGTTTGGCTAAGCCCTTTTCAATTTTCTTTTGCGACACCTCTTCCGCAGCTCTCCGAGACTTCCGACCTTGAGACCTGAGAGAATCCAAATATTTCCTTCTGTCATCACCTACAAGTGTACTGAATGTTTCACGATGTTGTGATGCATCGTCTACAATATATGCTACCTCTTTCTCGACGAGAAGCCTAGCTTCCTCAGGAAGCAACTCGACAGGAAGACCAAGGAAGACATTTTGTTGAGGAACTTGTGGAATGCTGCCAATAAGGACACCACAGATGTGATGGGTTCTACGTAAGTAAGTCACGACGTTGATGTCGAACACCAAGTACCGCCCTGCAATCCTGGAAATCGGGACTGGTCCGTCGATCATTGTGCTCCCAGAAGCCATCTTGAGATAGTCAAGGTCAATAACCTATTCCTGTAAAACCATTTGTGTCAGTCAGTGAGTGTGACAAAAAGGTGCTTTGGGAGTAATGTGGAAAGTAGTAACGATAAATCATTAATTAAAACATATATTTGAACTTCATATCCAGAGACTCTGGTTCTCAGGGGATTGACAGATTGTTGAATCATATCGAAGATGGGATCGGAATAGGATTGGATGTACTAACCATAACAATCAAGCATTGGTATTGCTGAGTCTGACAATGTTCAGTTTCTTTGTGCGGAACTTTTACACTTTTAAATGTTTGGAAACGAAAATATTTTGAAAACTTATAGTTGACATACGGCGCTAGTATAAGGTGCTTATTAAGCAGATTTGTGGGATGTGCCCTTGGCGACAGCCCTATGGCACGTGATTTATTTTTGTGCCACTGGATAAAAACTCTCACTCATTGTACTGAAGTGTGTACAAGGCACGAGTTCTTCGTGAGAGAGATCTATCCCATCCCAAAGGATTTAGTAGGATCAAGGTTAGTCTCCTTGCCATTGCATATTTCCGCTCCGGTGTTGATAGTCGGACATGCCTTTTGACACATGGCTTCTGCCTTCCACAGCTTGCTACCGCATCTTTCCCAGAGCTCAGGTATATTGGTTTACCGTGGCGCCTCCTGTCAACCTCTCAGTTTCAGAGCTACGGACTCTTTCAGTGCCGCATCGAGTACTCGGTATGACCCCTTTGCTGCCTCGATAGCATTTTCCGACAAAGAATCGTAAGAAGAATGTCCGTCTTCCGAATATCCCGTGTCAAAATCCCCCTTCGCCCAGAGATCTGTGATCTCGTCTCGTGAAGGTAAATATGCTACCACACAGGCTGCTAGTATCTCTGAGTGCTCCGAGGGCACCGGATCTAAAACCAAGGTAGGCTGTGGAAGAGTTCCGGATTTGGCGGACACTTGTAACTCTCGATCCCTTACTACCGCTGCTACCCCGCCGGAGACCATGTCCACGCAGTCAATTCCTGCATCGGAAATAGCGGCAGAAGCAACTGTAATACAGCCGCTAAGAACACTCATCATACCCCACTGGCCCGCTGGTCCTGATTCAGCCTGGTTGTCGTCCTCCCACCATTGATCCTCCTCGCCCTCCAAAATCGTGATAACAACGTCGACTCCGCTTTTTGGCCATCGGTCTCCAATGACAACTCCCCTCAATGCCGTTTCGAGGTGCATTGCAAGGTCACGCTCGCCTGGATATCGCTGGTACCCACGCCTCTTCCGGGTGGCAAATGGGGCGTATTTAACATGAGCTGCCAGGACAACATGGGGCGAAAATGGTGCAGATCGGGGCAGTGGTCGTGGCCCATGGACAGTACAGCTTATTTTAATCCCCGACGATGATAGCGACGACAACTTGGGGGTTGATGATTTCGGCTGTGATTCGCATTCGAGATATGCGGAGCCTGAAGCAGACGGAGTGACACCAGTTTTGAGAACTGTAGCATGTTAGAACGGCCGCCTTTATCAAGAGGTTTTAAATAATTGCGACTGACAAATCTTCCGAATCACATTCGGCGCTCTTGTTCGAGCCAATCTGCTCTTCGTCTCGGGGCTGCTTCCATCACTGCCCGTAAACAGTGGTGGTGCCGTGCCGCAGCTGGGTCCGTTGATGCGGCGTCTGTCGGCCATTTCTTGGGCAGAGAGCTGGTGTCGTAGAAATGCGATGCGCTCAAAAGTTCCCAGGTCTTCCTCCGTGAAGGGCATGCTAATCGCACGCTAGGTGGAACGATTATCCGTCGCTAATTGCTAGCTTGGGAGTTTTCTGGAGCACCTGTCCCGCTTTAAAAACGAAAACTTTCAACTCTCAAATCCCCTTTACATTCTACAAACGCAATGAATGCTGGCAAAGATCCATGTTCAAAATCGCCTTTGCAGCATACCTACTGTATTGCGCCACGGTGTGAGCATTCAGTTAATACTGTAAGTACTGTCATATCATACATTCCCCTTGCTCCTGATGAAATTCTTTCACAGAGTTCTGGCGATTACCTGAGCCAAATCGAACAACATGCACTACCATCTGAAGCACATCCACCTTCAATCATTATCCAAACATTTCTTTGAGGATCTGGGCTGACAGGATTAGAATCATAGGAGATAGGAACTATAGGAAAGTTTTATTTTTTGGCTGCAATGGTAAGAGCGACCTCTCTTCTTCTTCCAATACCTGGAGTTCCCTTGCGAACACTCCAATCCGTTTCCTGATGAAAAAACATTTCAAACAGTTCTGCTTCTGAACACCTTGATGATATCTTATTACCAAAAATATTTTTCTGAAAACATTCTCAAACACTGTTATGCAATGATTACATTTCAAGGCAACAACTAACGAGACAATAGGCGGTCCTCAATATCCTCAATCACCGGTAAAGGTAGGAAGCAATACCTTTCGTAAAAAAATCAAATGCCATGATGACAACAGCTTATCCATTCAACTAAGTCGTATTCGGCCGAGCCACCCTCCCACACCAGACTGGTCTTCACAGATCGGAATGATCGGTTGTGGAGTTTTGAGGAGCACTTAATTTGGCTTTCGGGCTGGGGTGTCACTTGTGTTATGCTGGCTTCCGTGTCTCAGGTCTTCTCGTTGCGTCTTGGAACGTTAGGACCTGAGGCCGGCCGAGTTGCTTGAGTAAACCGGCCTGTCTGAGCATATTTCATGTTAAATTATGATGGATATCTGCATTGTCGTGGGTGGCTTTTTGCTAACAGACACTAGTTCTGCATATAGCACCACCTTTTCGTTCTCTTTCCTGAAGTAATTAACTTCATATATGTAACTTGTGAGAAGTTCATAGTTGGTCTGATGGGCCCCGAAATAAATATTATACCAAGACGTTCTGCAGCACGATTATAGTGACATGGAAGTTGTAGTATCGCGTCAAATACTGTCAATAGTGAAGACTTCACATGCCCCCTATTGAGCTGTACGTCGCCAAATTCGATCTGTTGTAGCCCCACAGAAGTAAAACACATCGTTGAAGTATCAGTCTTCGTTCCTGTGGACTTCTTCCCGTCTGTTCTGTTCTGTCTGTCCCTCTCCTGCATTTTCCAAATATGGCATCACGTGACATGGCCATCACAAAGCCTTTAGCGGGACCATGTTTTTCCCCTCCGATTGGCGCGCCTGTTTCAGCTTTTCCTCCCTACCAAAGAAGAAAGGTGGCCGCCCAAGCAAGACCTTGTACTCGTCTCGTACATACGCTCCTCGTTTGAACCTAAATTCCGCGCCCAAGGGGAACTGAAGACGTCGTTCCTTGAAGTGACGACCAACGACTATACACCCACCAGCCAGACACGACGCTTGTGGGAATGCAATCCCGTCTGGCGACGAACAGTCCAATATTGCTGGCTTTTTTCAAGGTCAATTGCGCTCACCTCCGTATTTAATCGCAACGGGCACCTGTGTTCAATCGCATCGGTGTTCCGCAAACGTTGGGGACCATCGACTGGCCTACTGATCTCGATTTCCAACTACACGACGTTGGAATACTGTTGGCCACAATTGTCTTAATGTTGCCATCATATGCTTCTCCATCGCCGAAAATGTTATCGAGACATCAGGCAAATGCCTATTCAAAGGGCCACCCATACCCACAAGGCGGCACTGGTACCTTCACAATTTCTCCACATAGGTAATGCTTTCCAAGATCGAGTTGAATACCCTGTGCGGCAGCTGACCAGGTGCTGGTTGTAGGTTCCAACCCAGAAGTTCACCGACTGCATTAAGAAAACGGCGAGCCCTTTTAATACGACTTGCTATTTGCCTCGGCGTTGGTTTAGTCTTTTGCATCTTTGTATGGCCTGGGGTGTCAATAATGCCTCTGATAACACTGGGTCTGCCTTCATCCGGGGAAGATTTCCAACTAGAGACTGTGCGGTACTACGACTTATCCAATGTTGGAGGTACTGCGAGGGGATGGGAAAGAGAGGAGCGTATCCTCCTCTGCGCACCATTACGTGACGCGGAATCACATTTGCCGATGTTCTTTTCTCACCTGCGGAACCTCACATACCCACATCATTTAATCGACCTCGCATTCCTTGTGTCGGATTCCAAGGATAGGACCTTGTTGGTGTTAACCGAGCTTCTCGAGGGACTCCAGGCCGAAGAGGATCCAAATCAACCATATGGCGAGATATCCATCATCGAGAAGGACTTTGGTCAGAAAGTGAACCAGGATGTGGAAAGTCGCCACGGATTTGCAGCCCAAGCTAGCCGGAGAAAGCTTATGGCACAGGCGCGGAACTGGCTACTCAGCGCTGCCTTGCGGCCTTACCATAGCTGGGTATATTGGCGAGACGTTGATGTTGAAACCGCTCCTTTCACTATCCTGGAGGATTTAATGCGACACAATAAAGATGTTATTGTCCCTAGTAAGTGAACTGAGGTAGAAATCCCCAATTTACCATAGGTCCTAACACTTTGGTGCTAGATGTCTGGAGGCCCCTGCCGGATTGGCTAGGGGGGGAACAACCATATGATCTTAATTCCTGGCAGGAGTCAGAGACAGCATTGATGTTGGCAGACACCCTCGACGAAGACGCAGTCATTGTCGAAGGGTATGCAGAGTATGCCACATGGCGGCCGCATCTTGCCTACTTGCGAGATCCATATGGTGACCCGGATATGGAAATGGAGATTGACGGCGTGGGTGGAGTTAGTATTTTGGCTAAGGCTAAGGTATTCAGGTCTGGGGTTCACTTCCCAGCCTTCAGCTTTGAGAAGCATGCGGAGACGGAAGGGTTCGGAAAGGTACGTCCCAACATCTAGCCGGTGCAACGTGAAGCTAAACATAAATCAGATGGCGAAGCGGATGAAATTTTCTGTTGTAGGCCTACCACATTACACCATCTGGCATTTGTATGAGCCAAGTGTTGATGACATTCGACACATGGAGGTATGTTATATCTCGTCCTATAACAACCACTCGACTAACTTGATGTAGGAAATGGAGCAGGAGCGCCTGGTACGTGAAAATGAAGAGAAAGAGAAAGCTGAGAGGGCCAAAAAAATTAAGGAACAGTTTGATGACCCCAACAGCCAGTGGGAAAAGGATAAGACGGATATTCAAAGCCTGGCTATGCTTGAGAAGGCAAAGGGGCAACAAGCAACCGCTACTCGCGTTGCTAACCCTTGAGAGATCATGACGGAGAAGAACCCACCCAAGGCAGCTGTAAGGGCAAATTTACGCCACCCCATACTGGAATTGTATCTGACGACATATATAGACACATCCATGCCAGTTTATCGGTACGGGTCAGCTGGGTGGCAGTATTTGGTGGGGGTGGAGATAGTCTTAACGCGGTTTGTGTTATGGAAATGTATACTATGTAAGTGTTGTAGAAAGGGAACAGCACGGGCGGAATTGTCATGTGGACTTGATCACCCTCCCAATGCATTGGCTATAGAAGGCGTATATTTCAAGGGAATCTGCATATTAGTTATTGTGGTTTACAACCAGCTGTGCTCATACATACGAGTGACGAATTTCTCGGCCGTAGACCTGGATACAGTGTAGCTGAACTCAGTGCTATTGTCATTCTCACTGAGACCACCTGTGACCCTGTAATCAATTATTCACACCTGGATTTTATAATTCACAAGATTCTAATATAGAGGTTCTGTCTTGTTTATCTGATAACGACACGTGACTCCAGTAGATAACAACGCGACCGGACCAGTTGACCCTGGATCGGGACACGACGCGGCATGGGGGAGCTGTGCCTCCGAAATTTATAGACGTTCGAAAGTCCAACGGTGGAGACAAGAAAGCCCACATTTTCTTGACAGGTGATCTTTGTCACCCTGAAAAGTTCTGGGCTTGACGTTTTTGCTATTTGTGAGTTCTTTCTCCTGCTCGAGCCTCCATAATACACCCTGACGCAGCTTGGGAGCGACTTTCAACAATACACCACTAACTTTACTCAGCTTGGAGGGACTCCCAACAAGACACCACCAACCCAGCTCGCTTGCAGCTACCCCAATTATACACCACCGACTTGACTCAGCCTGCAGCGACCTCCAACAATACACCACCGACCCAGGTCCGTTTTGTAGCGACCTTCATACCACGTTTGCGGATACAAGTCATGAGCGGCGATGAACAGGCCAGAGAACTAGGGAGAGGCCGGACAGAATTGGAATCCCATATGCCATTTCAAGCCAGCACAGGTGAATTCACGGGGGATATGCCGAACCAAGTTCGCCAAGCACCGTCTTCGCCCAACAGACGCCCAGGAGCCTTTCCAGTTTCAGTTTCAGTGGCCATCGACCCGGTAGCTCTAATAACAACAGAATGTATAACCGTGGCATCTGCCATGCGTAAGCATGCTAGATGGGCCCATTCATCGGTTTCGGCTATCCTTGGTGGGAGTACAAGCTCTTCAAACTCCGTTGCGGAAGGATCCAGACCTTCAATGCCAGGACGCAGCCTTTCTGCTCGAAAGGGGCAGCAAGTTCGACCATCTCTTGTTGAATATGACAGCCTAGCAAACAGGTGGGGGCTGCGGGGGAAGAAGGGAAAGAGCATGCAAGATAACCCCTTAATGGCTGGCTTTGGACGCTTGAGGCGGGACTTGATCGGCTGCAAGGGTATATGTTCATTGCTATGAATATATAAGAGCATCTAGGCTAACTTGCTGTGTAGATATTCGCAATTTCGATACTCCTGCGCTTCTCCACCCATTCCTCCAGGTTATCCAGGCATCCGCGACCTCAGCCCCTATTACCTCGTTGGCTCTCGTTGCTATCACGAAGTTTTTCTCCTATAATCTAATAAGCCGTGATTCTCCTAGGTTAGCCCTAGCAATGCAGTCGCTGTCGGCTGCTATTACGCATTGTAGGTTTGAAGCAAGTGATTCCGCAGCCGACGAGATTGTTCTCCTACGAATATTAAAGCTTATGGAAGGAATGATATCAGGACCTGGAGGAGAGCTGTTAAGTGATGAAAGCGTCTGCGAAATGATGGAGACTGGCCTTAGTATGTGCTGTCAATCGAGACTGTCCGAGTTACTCCGTCGATCAGCGGAGATGTCGATGATCAAAATGTGCCAGGTAATATTTGAAAGATTGAAATACCTCGAGGTTGCGGCAGGAGAACATATCGAAGCTTTAGACGAAAGCACAAAGGAAGATATGGATGGTGTAAAGATGGATCCGTCCGCAAATGGCAACGACGCTGTTGCCTCGTCACTATCTGCGCCAACAGAGTCTGAACCGCTACCAAGCGTAAATTTGGACGCCCCACAACGAACGGAGGCAAGCGGTATGCCAACAAGCAACTACGAATCCGAAATTGGCTCCGGGCCAAGTTCAGAAGCTTCAGAAGACATTGAAATCAAGCCGTACTCGCTTCCATCGATCAGGGAACTCTTCCGTGTTCTAGTCGACCTCCTGAACCCGCAAGATCGCCAACATGTGGATGCCATGAGAGTCATGGCACTACGTATTATTGACGTTGCCCTTGAAGTTGCTGGCCCGTCCATCTCCAAACATCCTAGTCTGGCATCACTCGCCGAAGATAGACTTTGCCGGCATCTGTTCCAGCTGGTGAGGTCTGACAACATGGCCATACTCCACGAATCTCTGATAGTTGCTGGCACGCTCTTGTCCACGTGCAGAGAGGTGTTGAAATTGCAGCAAGAACTGTTCTTATCTTACATGGTGGCGTGTCTACACCCACGTGTTGAGATACCAAGGGAGCCAGGCATTGATCCATCACTCTACTCTGGCGTACCACAAGCTCCCTCGCAAACAAATAGCGGCCGGTCGACTCCGGTTCCTATCAAGGACAGGCAAAAACTAGGTATGGAAGGAGGCTCTCGGAAACCAGACGCGAGAGAGGCTATGGTGGAGAGTGTGGGCGCTCTTGCTCGCATTCCAACATATATGGTTGAGTTGTACGTGAACTACGATTGTGACGTGGATCGGAGTGATCTTTGTGAGGACATGGTCGGCCTTCTGTCACGTAATGCCATCCCTGACTCGGCCACCTGGAGTACGACAAGTGTCCCACCATTGTGTTTGGATGCTCTCCTGGGTTATGTGCAGTTTATAAGCGAAAGACTCGACGAACCACCTCGAAGCGGAGATTATCCCGATCAAACCCAGTTGAGGGAACAACGAAGGAGGAAGAAAATCATTATCAAGGGCACAACAAAGTTTAACGAGAGTCCAAAAGCAGGTATAGCCTACTTAACGTCTCAAGGGATAATCGATGACTCAAGCGATCCTGATTCTGTTGCTACGTTTTTGATGGGAACTAGCCGTATCTCTAAGAAAGTACTGGGCGAGTTTTTGTCGAAGAAGGGCAACGAACCCATCCTTGAGGCTTTCCTGAATCGATTTGATTTCTCGGGCAAACGTGTTGACGAGGCGGTGAGGGCTCTCCTGGAGGCGTTCAGGCTACCAGGAGAGTCGGCTTTGATTGAACGAATCATTACCTATTTCTCGGAGAAGTACTGTGCGCAGTCACCACCAGATGAGATCGCAGACAAGGATGCGATATACGTCCTGACGTATGCCATAATTATATTGAACACAGACCAGCATAATCCCAACCTTAAGTCACAGAACCGGATGACGTTGAATGACTTCTCGAGAAACCTCCGTGGCGTAAACGGAGGAAAGGATTTTGCGCCACAATACCTTCAAGATATATTTGACTCCATCAAGTCGAACGAAATCATCCTACCTGACGAACACGACAACCAGCATGCCTTCGATTACGCCTGGAAAGAGCTGCTGCTTAAATCCGAATCGGCTGGAAATCTAATCTCCTGCGACACAAACATTTATGACGCTGACATGTTCGAGGCAACATGGAAGCCCGTTATTGCAACTCTGTCTTATGTGTTTATGTCTGCCAGCGATGACGCTGTCTTTCACCGAGTTGTCACAGGATTTGATCAGTGTGCTCGAATTGCTAGTCGGTATGGTATGACGGAAACTCTGGACCAGATTGTGTACTGTCTCAGCTACATTAGCACCCTTGCAACAGTAACCCCAGCAAGCACAGCATTAAACACGGAGATCCAAGTAGAGGATACGAGTGTTATGGTCAGTGAGATGGCTGTTAAATTTGGGAGAGATTTCAAGGCCCAATTAGCGACTGTTGTGTTGTTCCGTGTCGTGTCCGGCAGCGAGACTGTTATCAAAAATAGTTGGATACATGTGAGTGTCTAAGAACTGTAAATCTAATCTGGGGAGGCTAATATTTTATTAGATTGTCCGCATATGGATCAATCTGTTTGTTAATAGCCTGATACCACCATTCTTCTCTGCTGCACCGAATAGGATGCAAATTTCACCCATTCCTCTGCAGAACCCATCGCAGGTCATCGACCGTGGAGCCAAAGCCACTGATGCAGGCCTCTTCTCAGCATTTACTTCGTATATCTCGAGTTATGCTGCCGATGACCCACCAGAGCCATCTGAGGAAGAGCTTGAGAGCACACTGTGCACAGTCGGATGCGTAAATGCATGCTACATGAGCGATGTCTTCGCAGATGTCATGTAAGATAATCTCAAGATACGTGAGTAACCCATAAACTAACATAATTTAGGGATTTGCCGGCGGAATCCTCACAGTACCTCATCGAAGCATTACTCTCGCAATTGCCAGATGATCCTTCCTCTACGATTATAGCGGTAAAATTCGATAACAATGCTGCGACAGTGAATGGCCAGAAAACCCTTAGTGATGGACTAATTTATGACCCTGCTTTTGTCTATGTTTTGGAGCTATGCACCGTCCTGTCTCTGAAAGACGAGAGCTCCGTCCTTCAGTCAGGAGAACAGGTGTCAGAAGCACTGCAGAGTGTAATCCGGGATTCTGCGAACTACCACCCTACACTGGTTGCCAGAGCTGTTTTCTATCTCCTCAGTCTTTTGCATGCAAGTTATGTCCGTATAACCGAACCCCTATCTCTCTCTCCTTTAGGCTAACCAAACTTGTAGGAACACTCATTCGTACGAGTCCCTGTCGTACTCCATACGATCTCTAGCTTCAAAAATGGGCTACTGGATAAAGCGGCGCCTACTATTCTTGAAGGGATTAAGGCTTGTATCGAAAGTCCAGGTCCCCTACGCAATGAAATAATCACCTCGCCTGACTTCTGGGTCATCTTACGGGCGCTTTCAAAGAACCAGCAAGCGTCTTCAACTGTTTTCCATATTTTGGAGGGGGTTACAACAGGGAAGACCCCACCTTCGATAATGGCTGACAATTATGAGTCGGCCGTCTCTCTTTTGAATGATTTCGCATCTGCTGGAAGTATTGGATCTGTGCTGGAGCAAAAACAGGATACAAGATCTCGGAGAGGCCAGCAGACGAAGCCTTTAAAAGCCCAGTAAGTCACATTTGAAGCTGAGTTGTAGGCAAGCTAACATCTCAGGTCTGACGAGGTCGTTGAAAGAGGCGTTAAAGCAGTGGGGATGATATATCACCTTACGCCTAGAATTCCAACTTTGATGAAGCAATCCCATCTGGAAAGCGACAAAGGTCAGTAAAGAAAGTATGATATAATGAAGGCATGCTGACACAACACACAGCCTGGGAAGCGTATTGGTCCCCCATATTCAAAGCTCTGACAACTCAATGCATCAATCCCTGTCGTGAAATCCGGCACCAAGCATTTTCGTCCCTGCAACGGTCGCTTCTGTCAGAGGAGCTCAAGTTGGGCAGCCAGCATTCATGGACAGCCATATTTGAAGAAGTCTTGTTTCCATTAATCTTCAGGTTACTTAAACCTGAGGTTTACTCGACCGATCCAATTGGCATGAGCGAAACACGGGTCCAGGCGGCAACCTTACTCTGCCGGATTTTCTTGCATTATCTACCTTTGTTGTCGACGTGGGAAGGGATGCTTGACTTATGGTTGAAAATTCTTGACATAATGGACCGACTAATGAACAGCGGACAAGGAGACAGTCTAGTAAGTCAACAATTGAGGGAGGGCCGAGTAAATTACTGACTATTGGACCTTAGGAGGAGGCTGTTCCAGAGAGCCTGAAAAACATTATTCTCGTAATGTCCACTAGCGAGTATCTTGCGCCACAAGTTGAAGACCCTTCTCAGGAGAAGCTTTGGACGGAAACTTGGAAGAGACTTGACAGGTTCTTACCGGATCTTCGCGGCCAGCTTGGTCTGGAGTCAAAGGAAGTGGCCGTCGATAGTCATCCACCGCCCCCGGCCACCCCCGAGAACACCGATATACCCTCTTCGTCTACTGAGTAACAACTTACTTACGTATGCAATGTCAAATCAGTAAGTAGTCCTCGGCGAATAATGCTAGATATTGATGGGGGGCAATCGTGTGCATAACCAATGTACATAACTTATGCCAACTTTAATTACGAGTAACTTGCTGTCGCACTCACTCTCAAACACTGCAACTTGTCCTTCAAGTTAACCTATATTCCTAGCGATTTATGAAAACTCAGGGGAGTTTTCATAAATCGCTCATATGCTGCTAAATTGACTAACGTAGGTCGTGGCCATACCGGGCCTATGGCCATACCGGGAATCTGGTCACGTGACTATAATGAAAACGCCAATAACTTTTTTATTAGTGGCTGTAACGTAAGTCGTGGCGTAACGGGACGGATGGCATAACGGGACGCTTTGCCAGAGCCACCCGCAACCCACCAAAATCAAGGTCACATGACCAAAATTAAAACGTTAATAACTTTTGTAATAATGCTTATAATGCTTAACGTAGGTCGTGGCCATACCGGGGCCATGGCCATACCGGGATGGTGGGGTAAGCCACCCCTTCAAAATATGAGCAGCTTCAAAAAAATTGAAAATAGTTCTACCATTACCATGCTAATTCATCTATATCACTGTCAAATAGCTCCTCCTCACTCCCATCATCAATTAGATCAATTATAGATGTTGTAACTTGTGGAGTTGTTGATATTTTCGACTTTTGTGATGTAGCTGTTGTTGCTGCTTCTGCTTCTGCTACTTGCGACTGCAACTCCTCAGTTGTGATGTGGAATTGACCCTTCAAAACTGCTCTCTTGCCCTTATTTTGTACTCTGCGCTTCTGAATAATTGAGCGCAAGTTATCTGTCTCCCTTTGTTGTAGTATGTGGCATGTATTGAGCCGCTCTGTCTCATCTGCTAACTTATGAATATATCGCTTTGTAGGAGTGTTGAGAATGCCACGACTTATTGTAGAAGAGAGTACTGTATTTGCTTTGTGAAGTGTTGGAAAATCAGGTGGACTGCTGTTCAGAAATACTTTCTCAAAAATGTCATGCTCTGTTGGAGTCTTTGGCCGCACTATTACTGCATCTGTTGTAGGAAGCGTAGCTGCGCGGATAACTGTCTGCGGTTGAAATGGCTGTAGCCCACTCCCTCTCCAAGCAGAAGCTATATTTGAATTTGAAAATGCAGCTGCTCTTGCTTGTATGTATGCATCCATCCATTCTGCTTTCTGTATGCATAGGAGCTGCGCCTCATTAAGGTGTGAGAGGGCTGTTGTGAGGTGTTTTTTCAAAGGTCCAAAAATTGCAACATCAAGTGGCTGTAACACATGAGAGGTATGTGGAGGTAGTATAAGTAGCGATATGCGATTCTGTATACAGTGTGATATGAAGCTCCCACTTATATGGCTGTCATGGCCATCACAAATAAGGAGCCTTTGTTGTAGTTGTCCATTTGGAAGTGTTGCTTTTGCTCTTGTAGAAGGCTCAAAAACGCGTTTTAGCCACTCATATCCATGAAGATTGCTTGTCCATCCCTTTGTATTTGCAGAGAAGTGCCATTTGCTTATAACATCCTTTGGAATCCAGCTCTGTAGTACATTCTGTCCCTTGAAGATAACGTAAGTCGTGGCGTAAGCGGCGACATGGCGTAAGCGGCGATTCTGGCTACCCCACCAAAATACAGGACCCGGCCACCTCACCAAAATCCAACCACCCAACAATTATCATACTAGAATGGTCAGACGGAGGAATAAACAGGCTCAAGAGCTTGATTTGCGACTGTCTGAAGCAGTTCTAGGAATTAAAACTAGAAAATACAAATCTGCTCAAGCTGCAGCCATTGCTTTGAACCTAAGGCCTGATACTGTGCGGAGACGCATCCGTGGTACACTAACACGAACAGAGGCACGCCAACAGCAGCAGCTCCTATCAAAAAATCAGGAAAAGACACTTTTAAAGTGGATTAAAGGGCTTACAAGTAGTGGCTATGCTCCTAGTCACCGGATTCTAAGAGAGGTTGCAGAGGAAGTGCGCTCAAACAAGTGCCGGGTCTTCCAGGTGAGTTGGTGGATGTGGTTGTCAATTGACCAACTTGGCTTCTAAGCTCCGCTCCTAACCTCTACTCCTGACTGAGCTCAACTCCCGAGTCTCAGGAGCCAGGACTCGGCTAAGCTGACTAGTGGCTTGGCAGACCCCATCAAATCAATCGGCCCAGGAAACTCGACCAGCTCAGCAAAGCCGACCAACTCAGCAGAGCCGACCGACCCAGCAGACCCGACCGACACAGCAGTCCTGACCAACTCAGCAGACCCAAACTCAACAAGAGCACATTCCTAACTTACCCCTTGGGCAAGATTGGGTGCCACGGTTCATTCAAAGACATCCTAACTTATGTGTTAAGCTAGGAAGAAGGGTTGAGGCTCAAAGGATGAATGGGGTCACAAAGCAGGTGTTGAAGGCGTGGTTTGACGCATACAAGAGCCTCACAACAGAGCAAAAAATCGAAAACTACAACACCTACAACATGGATGAGACTGGATTTTCAATTGGAACAATGCAATCTACACGAATTATAGTCAATTCTACACTTAGGACGCGTTTTCAGGCACATCCAGGAAGGCAGGAATGGGTCTCTGCTGTTGAGTGCATCTGCATGGATGGAACAACCACCGACCCCCTCATTATCTTCAAGGGACAGAATATACTACAGAGCTGGATTCCGAACGAGGTTATAAGCAAATGGCACTTCTCAGCAAATACAAAAGGATGGACAAGCAATCTTCATGGATATGAGTGGCTAAAACGCGTTTTTGAGCCTTCTACAAGAGCAAAAGCAACACTTCCAAATGGACAACTACAACAAAGGCTCCTTATTTGTGATGGCCATGACAGCCATATAAGTGGGAGCTTCATATCACACTGCATACAGAATCGCATATCGCTCCTTATACTACCTCCACATACCTCACATATACTCCAACCACTTGATGTTGCAATTTTTGGACCTTTGAAAAAACACCTCACAACAGCCCTCTCACACCTTAATGAGGCGCAGCTCCTATGCATACAGAAAGCAGAATGGATGGATGCATACATACAAGCAAGAGCAGCTGCATTTTCAAATTCAAATATAGCTTCTGCTTGGAGAGGGAGTGGGCTACAGCCGTTCCAGCCACAAACAGTCATACGTGCAGCGACGCTTCCTACAACAGACGTAGCAGAACGGCCAAGGACTCCAACAGAGCATGATATTTTTGAGAAAGTATTTTTGAATAGCAGTCCACCTGATTTTCAAACACTTCACAAAGCAAATACAGTTCTGTCTACTACAATAAGTCGTGGTGGTGTTTTGAATACTCCTACAAAGCGATATATCAATAAGTTAGCAGATGAAACAGAGAAACTTAACACACACCACATACTACAGCAAAGAGAGACGGATAACTTGCGCAACATAATTCAGAAAAGAAGGGAGCAAAAGAAGGGTAAAAGAGCTGTTTTGAAGGGTCAATTCCACATCTCTACAGAAGAACTCCGGTCGCAAGTAGCAGAAGCAGAAGCAGCAACAGCAACAGCTTCACAGAGGCCTAGAACAACACCACGACTTATAGAGGAAGCTACAATTGAGGAAATAGACAGAGAGGGTGAAGAAGAGCTATATGATAGCGATTTGGATGAATTGGCACTGTAGTAATTGAATTATTTGCGATTTTCTAACTTGGTGGTTTGGTGGCCGGGACCTGGATTTTGGTTGGGTATCCAGAATCGCCGCTTACGCCATGTCGCCGCTTACGCCACGACTTACGTTATAGCACAGGAGTTTATAAGCTTCTTTGATATAAGAGGGTTAAACCCCAATATTTTTATTAGAGGAGTAAAATAACACGCGGCAAGTGCGCATCGGGAAACCGCGTCCCCCGCATCAGGAAACCGCGTCTGCAATAGGTAAGGCCCGTGCACGGATGCGTCGCCGCTTTCACGGGTATAAAGACTCGACCACCCCCTCCCCACCTCCCTCGCCCATCAACTTTTACTTTCCTTCATTCCATACCCCGATAGCCTACACACACCGCCTCGCTTGCGACGCTCTGTTGTCTGTCATGCGCCCATCTTTCGGCCCTTCTGCTGTTGTGTGGCCCCCACTGCTGCCACGCTCCCCACAGCCTCACCGCAGTTAAGACACTCCCATAGGGCTCGAATCCGCGACGATCCTGCCTCGATACCATAACATCTACACTCCGATGGCGGTCAGCGCGTGGAGCCTGACTCGCATTGGTTGTGATGCGAGGTCAGCAGGAGCTGAGGCCGGAGCGCCCTTGAATCCGCCTCGCCAGCGAACCGTTGTCCCTTCCCCTTCAGGCATATTACGTCGAAGATTGAGGTGCCGCAGGGCTTGGAGACGCCCACACCACAGCGCACAGCCAGGCTTTTCTAGACGGCCATGCTGCAGTTGGATACCCCGTCCGACTCGAATCCGTGCCGATCTGCCTCCATAACTTCGACACTTTGACTACAGTCAGCGCCTCGAGTCTGCATCACATTGGCTGCGAGTCTTCGAGACACACATGCCGCCGCATGCAGCCAGTCGCGAAAATGCCTCGTGCGGTCTGCAGTCCGCCGCGCCGCCATTAATGACGAGTTGCGATCCACTCGATAGGTCATTTGCGTGGGATTGGAGTTCATGTGGCCATCTCAGCACAATCATCGGCGAGGCTGTGAAGAGCTGAGCAGGAACGGGATGGCAACCTCGGAATTTGATGTTGTAATTGGCTGATTTGACAGACATATCTCAATTAGGCATAGGAAATCCCTGTGCCAGACGGAGCGGTTTTGGCTCTGGTATAATTTAGACAGGAAGATGGCAGGAGGGGCACTGATGCGAGAAGATTACATATGAGCCTTTCGATCCTCCTGCCTACAGTTGGCGGATTGCTTGAATATTTCAAATCAATTTTGACGCGCTCAACATGGCCACCTTTGTCCCCATACCTTATAACTATGTGCCAACTGCCCCGCGTTCTCGGAGCACAACAACCCGCAGCAAACCTGCAGGTTTGCGGCCGGCCTCAACGCAATCCAGACTCCTCACCGAGGACTCCCGCGGCAAGCCGATGGGAGTCACACTTGACGCTCTACGGCCACTGGTAGACGCAGCAGCTGGTGAGAATGGGAGCGGTATGACCAGAGATCAAGGTATGTTCTGAGATACCAGTGCCAGCTGTAGCAAGCATGACTAATCGTTGGGAACTTAAGTCAACAGTAGCTTTGCATATAGCGGCAACAATAGCGAAAGCGATGGCGATTACTACTTCCCCACAATCGAGGAGCTCTTGCAGGCCAAACTGGAAAAGGAGGGCTTTGGTGTGGGGGGGCCGGACAAAGAACACATGATAAGCGGAGCTGTGGAAGAAAGCTTGGGGAGGGCCGGCTCCGTCGACCATAGCACATCAGCATTGAGCGACAGTTCTAGTGGTCACCAATGTAAGCACGCCTGATATCTTCTGTTGCATATGGCAAACTCTGACATGATGATTCTTGATGTTGTGTAGGCAATTCAATTGTACTGGAAGATGACAAGTCTAGTGCCTCCAAGGATGAAATCAACTGCGGTAGTCTTCGCAGAGGAAGCGAGGACAAGGACCAGGGGAGTATTGGTAGCATTGAGGCTTTGTCCAACTCGAACATTCCAACGCCTCCTTCCGATCCCTACTCGATATTGGATTCCATGCTTCTCTCGAGCGAGCCGTTGCACGTCCACATCAGCACACAGGACCCTTTTACGGCTTGTTCTGAGTTTGACCCCACAAAGCCTCTCCTTCAACATGATCACAGCCAGTCTCCACGCTGGCCCAGATTGTCACAACAAAATCTACTCAGTCAGGAAGTTCTTGCCTATCCCAGGCAAGCTAAGCCTGCACTTGATAATAATACCATCTCTGAGGAGAAGCTGCTACAGCAGCAAGACGAGGAAGAGAACATCAATAGCAATTACGATAGACTGCGACCGTCAAACGAAATTACGGCGATGGTAACGCCAATGACTGAAATGGGCGACGAACTCCATCTCTCCACGAGTGTGATTAGAAGGACCAGCGTAGCCAAGCGCCACAGAATCCTCCCCACCCGCAGTCAATCCCTGGAGCCAAGCGAAGAATAACCGACGAGCAACAGCGACAATTGCAGCGACGATGAGCTCGGTACCACCGAAGCTAAGTCAGACGAGAGGCAATGCTCTACCAAGCGGAAACAGCCATCTTCCTCTTACGTTGGCCTAACGCAACGGAAGCGTGGGCAGCATCTTCAGCTAGTGTCTACCCAGCAAGCAAGAAATTGGTCCCCACAGAGACACCGTTGGAAGCCACACAATTATGCTTCAAAAGTTGCATTAGCCTGCAACGGTAACAGCCAATTACCTTCGCCAGCCCGTTCTTCTCTGGACTACGGCACACTCAGCGAATCATCCAAACACAACCAGCCACTGCTCACTGAGGTCACGTTCCGTCCCCATTCTCCGAATTGCTTCTCTTTTTCAGCGTTCATTCAAGACCATCGTGACGAGCCGGAATTATCTTTTGCCCAACTCTCTAAACTCATCGAGTGCGTCGGCCATTCTGGGAATATTGAGGACCTTACGATCAAGCCGCTAAAGCAACATTCGTTCCTGGTGACTGGTTTTAGCCGGCGTACGTCTTCCCGCCCTTCTCAAAGTGGGAGGACTGTAAGGTCTACTACAAACGCATACCTCGTCCCGCTAGGTGCAAGGCGTACCCAGGTAGACAAAAGCAGTAGCGCGAGCGCTTTTCCATTACAATGGCGAGAGCCGTCAAGCCGCATCGTTGACTATGGTTTTGGTGACGGTTCGAGCGAGGATGAACTGGGACGTTTGGACACAAGAAAGTATAGTCAATGGTCAGAGTCAAGCAGGTCCGATGTCGATGGTTTTGGCGATGGTGATCTTAACACTGGTAGCGACGGTGACGCATATTCGAGCGAGGATAATGTGGGCCGTTCAGATGATAGGAAATATAGTGAATGGTCACCGCTTGACAAGCAGCGCTTATCAGCGTACAAGAAGGAGGGCAAGTCTTGGGAGTGGATCTTCAGCAAGTTCCCGGGCAGGACTAAGGCCGCAGTACGCACGCGCTGGAGCACAATGCAGCCGAAGGTAAAATAGGTCACTTAAAGCTATTACAGCCTCCACATTGTGGTGTGCACCATTATGGTGTGCACCATTATGGTATGCCTCGGGCGTCTATAGATAGGATAGAGCAGATCTAATGCGATGTATGAATATGATCTTCCTCACCTCACCTCCCCAGGGACGACGATGGCTCGAAAACTTAAGAGCATTCTGCAACGCCGCTTTTTTGTCTAATAAATTCCTTCTGCTTTCGCCACTCGTCATTGCTCTTTCTAACTATTTTATTTAGAATATGCGTAGACAGTTGAGTGTCCTAGATTTCCGCTGACTCGAACCTCTCTTACGGGCATTTGCGCCGATAGTCACTACTATTGCAAAACAGAACGACCACCGTTCTTGTGATAAATATGGAATAACGGCATTCACTGATGTAACTCCATTGCCCGACCCCTTTTCTTAGACTTTTTGAAGGCTCTTTTGATCCCTTGAGATAGGGACGTATCTGGCGTAACGTCTCGCGAAGGATCACGGCTTGATTGACTATTAGCTTCCTCTAGCAGAGACGCAGCATCATGACTTGATTGGCGAGAGAGATGGTGGCTTTCCAACCCCTGTGAAAGTCCAGATTCCCCCTGGTCGGATTGCTGCGAGACCTTGAAATCTAAATCAGGCGGTAACTCATCAATAACCGTACAGATTCTTTTGAGGTAAGTTGGCATCCATGTGTCGTAGACAACAGTCGAAGGACGCCGAATATATAACTGCCCCTTTGTACTCCTGGACCTCAGAGCACAAGATGTGATAATTGGGAAGAAGCTTTTCAGCTGCTTCCGAATACTACTCGACTCTGCAAAGAGCTGGTTAGTATGGCCAAAGGAGTACCCACCGACTCCTAGCTGGAGCAAGGTGATCTCCTTGCTCGAAACGTCCATTAAACATCCTGCATACCAGTCGGATGCGAATCGCTGGGATTTTGCAATCCACCGTGAAGACAGACGCCGCGCAGGCGGACGCTCGATGGAAATGAAAGTGGTAACTTCTGACTACGAAGGGATCACTGATATGCCATCGAACCCACTACGAAACCAGGAGGTTTCTCCCCCACCGCAAAAAACCCTAGTACATAGGTTTACGCCCATGCATATATGCGAAATCAGTGCAAATGCTTTCCACCACGAGATGATGCGAAACGACTCTGAGTTTTTTCAGACTAGCATCTACGAAATCGATCAGATCATTCATGAAAAGGAGTTGGTAGAGGACGAAGAAATGCTCCACCTCATCCAGCAGAAGCTTCCGCATATGCACCGGAAGTACACCGATGTCTTTTCGAAGTTGGAATCGGATCGAATCCCCCCCCCACCGCATATACGACCACAAGATACAGCTCGAAGCCCCTTTACCAAACGCTTTCTCCCCGTTATATCGACAGGGCACCGAAGAGCTTAAGGCTACCAAGCAATACCTGCTGGAAAACCTGGAAAAGGGATTCATTGTCAACAGCAACAGCCCCTTCGCGTCCCCTATCCTATTCGTAAAGAAAGCGGATGGCAAATTAAGATTTTGCATCGATTACCGGAAGTTAAATGGTCTCACCTGGAACGATCCCTACCCCATCCCGCGTATCGACGAACTACTAGGACGGGTGTCAAAAGCAAAAATCTTCATGAAGCTAGATATCAGACAAGCCTTCCATCGTATATGGATGCACCCTGACTCGGAAGAGTACACGACCTTTCGGACTCGCTATGGATCCTATAAGTGCAAAGTGCTGCCATTTGGACTGACGAACGGTCCCGCAAACTATCAGCGGTATATGAATGACGTCCTGATGCAATACTTAGACGACTTCTGTACTGCATACTTAGACGACATCCTAATCTATTCAGAGGACCCTACGGAACACATAGAGCATGTGCATAAGGTCCTACAGCATCTCTGAGAAGCTGGACTCCAAGCCGATTTGAACAAATGCGAGTTCAATGTCACCAGGACAAAATACTTGGGTTATGTTCTCACTACCTCCGGTGTCGAAGCGGACCCTGACAAAATCGAACCCCTTCGTAACTGGATCCGACCGACCACTGTTACGGGTGTGAAGTCCTACCTGGGATTCTGTGGCTTCTATAGACAATTCATTCGTAATTTTGGCAAAATAGCAAAGCCCCTCACCACCATCACTAGTCCCTCGGAGCCGTTCCGGTGGACAGACGAATGTGAGGATGCGTTCGAGGAATTGCGACGACAACTTTTAGTGGTACAGGCACTTCACCACTTCAACCCCGAATTGCCTACGAAGCTGGAGACCGACTCCTCTGATGGAGTGGTAGCTGGTGTCCTGTCTCAAGAACACCCTGACAAGCGATGGTACCCCGTAAGCTTTTACAGTCATGTCCTATCTGGACATGAGATCAATTGGGAGATCCATGACAAGGAACTATTCGCAATAGTAAAGGCCTTCAGAAAATGGAGGCCCGAGTTGGCTTCGGTGCGCCACTGAGTCGACGTGTACACTGACCACCGTTCGCTGGAATACTTCATGTCTACCAAGGTTCTCACCGCGAAGCAGGTTCGATGGATGGAGCTACTCTCCGACTTCAACTTCTGCATTACGTACACCGCGGGCAAGAATAACCAGAAGGCAGATATTCTGAGCCGAAGAGACCAGGACTTGGTAACGCAGCAGAAAGTCAAACTTGATAGTAGGGCGAGGGTATTGTTAGGTCCAAGCTGCCTGCACCCCCGAATCAGCACCGAACTCGCCGAGAGCTACATAGCATCCATTAATTCGATGGACACCCCCAAGCCCCAGGTGCCCTTCAATTTAATAGAGGCGCTATGTGCGGACAATCGGAAGTCGTTCACCGAGACTCGCGCGAAACAACCCCTACCGGACGGATTCGCGATGAACGACCAGCTCCTCCTGTACAAAGGCCGCCTATGTGTGAATCGCCACACCGACCTATGTACGAAACTGATCCGGGAAGCGCACGATCAAGTGTCGTCAGCACATCCAAGTGGCAGGAAAACCTACCAATTGCTCGCCCCAAAGTATCATTGGGTCGGGATGGAAGCGGACTGTTTGCAGTATGTAAGAAACTGCGGCTTTCTCACACCAATGTCACTAAGCAACAAGGATTTCTACACCCACTACCCGTACCCGAATACCCTATGCAACACCTCACCATGGACTTCGAGGAGTTCCCAAGGGACAAGCATGGATACGATAGCATCTTAGTGTTTATGGACCGACTCGGAAAGAGTTCAGTGACAATACCTTGCTACAAAACCACAACTGCCCGGCAGATGGCGCAATTGTTCATCGAATGAATATACTGATTCGGACACACTCCGGAGTCGATTGTAAGCGACCGCGGACCCCAATTCGTATCATCCTTTTGGCAAGAGTTCTGTCGAATTATCAGCATTAAGGTTAAGCTGTCGACTGCCTATCATAAGCAGAGCGACGGGCAGACGGAAATCATGAACCGATACATTGATCAGAGACTGAGGCCCTTTGTATCCCATTATCAGGATAACTGGAGCGAACTCATCCCCATAATGGACCGCGTGCAAATGACACTCCCCCACGCATCCATTGGCATGACCCCCTACCGACTCAAGTACGGAACTGATCCGCGTACGAGTTGGGATTGGAACACTCTGAAAAGCACCAACCCCCGGGAGACCCTAAACCGAGAGGAAGCCAAGGCGGTGGCAGACCGAATGCATACCATACCGCATGGGTCCACGCAAAGGAAAACATGGCAAAGGCACAAGAGGAAATGTCTAAGCACGCGAATTGACGCCGAAGGGCCATCGACTGGGACGTAGGAGATAGAGTGTACCTATCGACCAAAAATTTGAAAAGCTCTCGTCCTAGCCGCAAGCTGGGCCAACAATGGGTCGGACCATATATGTCGGAACGGATTGAGCATGCATTTCGATTGGAACGACCTACCGGTTCGCAAATACACGATGTGTTCTCACCAGACGTACTCATGAAGGATCCGAAC